TAATGACCAAAAAGAACGCAGGAAAATGGACTTTTAGGGCCGTTTTCACCTGGAATCACCTCGTCGTCGTGATCGCCGAGTGTTCTGGCGCGGAAAACGAGGCTTTGGATTTGGTGCCCGCCATCACCTCAACGGTAAGAATAATTTTCATTTTATTAAAAAGGGCTTTAGGCTGAATTTGGGTTCTTTTTCGAAGCCAAAAAAAACATTTTCATAAGAAAATACGCTTAAAAAGCCAATAATTGAAGAATTTGCGCTCCATTGATAATCAAAAATTAAAAAAATAGCCGAGAATAAAAGCGTTTGCGCTCCACGGATAATCAAAAAATGAAAAAAAAATTCCGAGGATCGAAGCATTTGCGCTCCATGGATAATCAAAAAATGATAAAAAAGTAACCGAGAATTAGAGCATTTGCGCTCCACGGATAATCAAGAATGACCAAATTGTTAACTAAGTGATCCCTTACTAATGTTAGAACTCTCAAGGGACTACTTGAAAGTGCTCAAAAATGTCCAGTTTGAAGAAGTCTGTTCTTCAAGTTTTCTAGCCCTTAAGTGATTTCACTTGAGTGGTGTTAGCGCTTCCCTTAAGTGTTCGCTTGGAAAAACTGCAAGTGTAAGATTTTCTAAAAGATTGAACCTAAAATCGAGTTTTTTAAATGATTTTTTCTTCCAGGTCCTCGAAGAGCACCATCTGATCGTCGGCGTCGTCGTCGTTGTCGACCCCGGGGCGATCCGACATGGCCCAAGCGGCGAGAAACAGCGAAGTGTGCTCCGAGACCTGTTCCTTCGCGACAAACTCGACCCCATCTATGTTGCCTACAATATGTGATCGCCTTGATTTTACCTGTATATATTATTTGACTCCTATTTGTGGATTCTATAGGGTTTAAAAAATCTTTGATTGGAGGATTTCTGCCGCGCCGCGTGTCGAGCCATTCCAAGTGCGACCATTAAAAGAAAATTTAAAATATTAAAAATTGGTTTTTTTAAGATTACTTTATCGAAAATTTACAGTAGAAACGCGAATTTTGGAATGGAACGCAACGCGACCGCGCCGCGAGTCGAGCCATTCCAAGTGCGACCAAAAGAAAGCGCTTGGAAATGTAGGAAATTTAAGGAAGATGACTTTTTTTTCAATGTGACGCCAAAACTTTACAGTGGAAACACGTATTTTCGAGATAGAATGGAACGCACCGCGACCGCGACGCGTTTCGAGCCATTCCAAGTGCGACCATAAAACAGAATTTGAAGGAAGCACTTGGAACTATAGAAAATCATGAGAAAACGACTTTTTTTTCTGATAGGAACGCTTCCGAAAATGAGCGCAAAGCGACCGCGACGCGTGTCGAGCCATTCCAAGTGCGACCATTTAAGCGGAATGAAAAGGAAGCCTTTGAAATGTAAAGAATATATATTAAAAATGGTTTTTTTAAAGATTACATGTATCGAAAAATCCAAATTATGAAAAAAACGTATTTCGATGTACCGCAACGCGACCGCGACGCGTCTCTAGCCATTCCAAGTGCGACCATCCCTTTTTTTAACTTTTTTTATAATAAGGCCCCCAATAGATCAAAAATTTGGCCCAAAAACTAGGGTTTTGGCGCGAAAATCCTCCACTTTCCAAAAACTTCTCTCATTTTTTTCCTCTTTAACCAAATCTTGTAAATATTTGCTCCGATCGCTTTTTTCCACCGATTAATTCTTCTCTAATTCCTTTTTTTCCAAATATAATTCTTCTAGCATCTTTTCTTCGCTTCTCGGGTGAGATATTCGGATTTTTTGCCTTTTTCTGTCGATTTTTATTGATTTTTTCGAGGCGAGTCGCTGCTTTTTTTACCTCTTTTCGTCGATTTTATGTGATTTTTTAATTTCCAAGCTTTCACATTTCATTTTTTTAAAAGTCGCTCAGGATATTAAAATTGAAATTATCGAGGATTGCTGGGCCAAATATTAGGATTTTTTCTGGAATTTTTTCTTGCCCTTTTTTTCACTTTTTTCGCTTTCACGTCAGCTTTACCTTGCTCAAACAATGTTATGAGATGGATAATTTCAGCCCAAATAAAAGCAAAATGCGGGATTTTCAGTATTATTTCTAATTTTTCTTTTTTCGTTTCCCTTCGTGCTGAATATCATTGCCTTGGTTTTAAAAGTCAGTCTTGATTAATTGAATATTCGATGAATAAATAAATAAATAATTTATTAATATATCTTTTTAAATTAGCTCTAGGAAAGGCACAATTTCGTCTTTGATTTGAAATAATTTTTTTGATCACAGTGAGGGTCAAATCACAATCAAATTGAGAAACACAGGGTATGAATAAAAATCTAGAAAAAAAGTTGCCCAATGAGAAAAAAAAAGCTAGAAAAGTGAATAAAAACCCAGAAAAAATGGAAGAGAGACTATTAGGAAAAGTTGGAGGGATATTTTTCATGATCTCAAGTGATCCCTAGAGTGATCCGAGTTTGAAGTGATCTCTTAAGTGACCTCTTCAAATCCTCTAGTTCTATACTATAAGGACCTCTCCAACTTCTCAAAAAAATCACAAAAAAAGTCAAATTGCACCGGAAAAATGAAAGAAGGCGATAAAATTTTCCTCTCTTTTGGCATTAATTTTAAAAAAACCCCAATAAAAAAGTGATAGTGATAAGAATTGATTAGTTCATTCGAAGCTGATAATCTCCGTTTTGGGTGACGTAACGGACCCACGGTAGCGCTTGGTAGCCGCTTTTCTCGATGATTTTGAGGTATCGGACCTGAAAAATTGAAAATTTTGAGAAAAGTGAGAGATCAACTATTTTTTGAAGAGACGCCAGACATAGAACTTTTCTGTGTTTCTCTGGCATCTCTTCTATCTTTTATGTGTTTGAGCTTTCTCCAACTTTTCGCGGTTTCTAGTTCTATGAAATTGGAAAGCGAGAGATCAGCTAGGCTTTAAGAGACGCCAGACATAAAAAATTTCTGTGTTTCTCTCGCGTCTCTTCGACCTTGTTGAGTTCTCGCTTTTTCTAAAGTCATATTTTCGTTATATTTCCAATGTTTTGAGAGAAAATTGAGAGATCAACTAGGCTTGAAGAGACGCCAGACATGAAAACTTTCTGTTTTTCTCTCGCGTCTCTTCAATCTTTTTTGAGTTCTCGCTTTCTCTAACTTTTAAAGGTTTCTAGTTTCACAATACTTGAGAGCGAAGGATCAACGGCGATTCGAAGAGACCCCTGAGAAGTCAAAACACTCTCGTTTCTCTGGCGTCTCTTCAGAGCACTGTAGATCTCTCTTTCGGTTCATCATTTTTGTTCAATTTTAAAGCTGTTTTCTTGTGATTTTGTTGAATTTTTTCTTGTATTTTCCATTTTTTGAAGAAAAGTGAGAGATCAACTTGGCTTGAAGAGACGCCAGACATTCAAAGTTTCTCTAGATGTCTGGCGTCTTTTTTAGCCTAATTTGCCTTTAGAAAATTTAGAGCGAAGGGTGACGAGAGTTCAGAGAGTTTTTTTCAGTCTCAAAAGCGAGAGATTAAGCAACTTGAAGAGAGCCCAGAGAAGCAAAAAACTCTCGTTTCTCTGCCGCCTCTTCAGTCTACTGTTGATCTCTCGCCAACACTTTTACTCATTTTAGACTTCAGGAATCAACCGAGACTTAAAGAGAGGTCAGAGAGCACAAGTTTCTCTGCTTCTCTGACGTCTCTTTCAAGAAACCGTTGATCTCTCGCCTCTATTTCTTTTGTTCAATGCTAGAGATCAACAGATGCCTGAAGAGAGGTCAGAGAGCTTGATTTCCTCTGCTTCTCTGCCGTCTCTTCCAGCCACTGTTGATCCCTCGCCTTGTCCATATCCAAGCTAGATATTTTCAGCATTACCTGAAGCCCGCTGGTCGTGTAGTAAGGAATCTCGAATTTGACGTGAATCGGCGGTTTTCCTTCGATTTCTTCGCTCATTATTGACGGAAGGGAGAAGTGGGCCCGCATCAGGTATTCACGGCCACCTGTTAATTAAATCTACCTGTTGAGAATAATAACACTTGATTCTGCATGATTTGAGACAGTCTGACCTGTCTGCGCCCTCTTTTCTCTCACCAGAAATTCTAGAGTGGTCCCTATAGGGGTTAGAGAGAGAAACAGCCTTTTCAAAGGGTGCACAAAAGTGGCCCCTGTAGGGGTTCAGAGTCTGAATCCTCAGCCCCTAAAGCTCAAGTGGTCCCTATAGGGTTAGGGTGAGAAACAGCCTCTATAGGGGCCGGAAAAGTGGCCTCTATAAGGGTAAGATTGAGGTGGCCCCTATAGGGTTTGGGGGGTGGGGAAAAACGGGGGCCAAAAAAGTGTTCCCTATAGGGTTTCAGGGTCTGACCCCTTAGCCTTCAAAGCTCAAGTGGTCCCTATAGGGGTCTTTCAAATTCATTCAAAAAACGGTTATTTATTCAGTTTTTCATATGGAAATGCTTCTTCGCACAGATTTCATAAAAATTACCCCCTATAGGGACCACTTTTGCAAGCTTTAGGGGTCCCTATAGAGGTTTGTAAAGTGGTCCCTAAAGGCGACTTTCCAAAGGCTCCTAGAGGAACCACTGTGGAGCTCCTAAGTATTGCTTTTAAATATCTACGCGCGCAAGCCGTTTTTGGTCGGTTGCACCTTTTAGAAGGGACCATCCGAAGCCCCTATAGGGACCACTCTGGAGTTCCTAAACAGTGCGCAAAAATGAGAGGGCGCAGAGAAGTCAGACAATTTTTTTGAAATCTTAAAATTCAAGCTACAAAAAAAGCATCACAAATTTTTGAAATGTGAGAAAATTATTGAAAAATGGCTTGATTCCCAAAAAAATCGATAAAATTTTATAAATATTGACGCCTTTGAAAAGTCACCTGGAAAACTCCGGATGGTCCAAACGAAGGCGTTGAGCTCGGGAGCATATTTCACCGACCCGACGCTAGTTTTAAACTTGGGCGAACTGGCGTCCGAGGGCACTGGAATGACCACTTCGACGTGATTCGCGATCGATTGCCGCTTGAATTGGGACTTGGCCTAAAATATTTGTTTTTCATATTTTTTTTTTCTGAATAAAAAAGGCTTGGTCGCATTTGGAATGGCTTAACATGGTACTGGGAACATTTTTAGTGGCCACTATAAGGTTTTGATGTTTTAGTGGCCACTATAGTAGTCAAATTAGTGGCCACTTAAGGGGTTAACAATTAGTGGCCATTATAGAGGTCTAAGTGCTACTACTCGACCACTAAAAACTTTTAGTGGCCACTTTAGGGGTCAATGGATCAACATAACTGGTCCAATCTGTGTTTTTTTTTAAAATATGAGAAGTACTGAAAGGAATACTGGATGAAAAACCACTGAAGCGGCCACTAAATAGAGAACCACTATAGTGGCCACTAAAACGGAAAATAGTGGCCGCTTTAGTGTCCTCTCCCAGTAGTCCTTGGCAAGCCTCTATAGTGGCCTCTTAAAATTTTCCCAGGACGCAAAGTCGTTGAAAACTAGATTTTTTTTTGCGCCCGACCTAGAAACGACTCGCGCCCAAGGCTCTCAAAACACTAGAAAAGCTAAATTTGAAGATTAATTTTTATGGACCAGAGAAAAAATTGAGCAACGCGTTGAGCCATTCCAAATGCGAAAATTGGAGGGCTGAGACAAAAAATTACCGACCTTGACCATATATTCGACCCGTGAATGAGTGTGTTTCTCAACGACAGCTTCCACCCAAATCAGCGGTTTCACCTTCAAAAAAGTTTTTTTTTATTTTTTTTGAGCATGATAAGTCGAAGTGCAGTCGTCACTAAAGTACATACATTTTTGATTGCAATCAATAAGAAACTCTGAAAAAGCTATTTCAAAGAATTAGTTGGGGCGGGTGGGGAATATTTCAAAGTAGTTTGAGCAGCGGAGGGGGGGGGGAGTATAAAATAGTGCGAGGCGTTTCAAAATTGGCCCTCGTTTTTTTACTTCGGGAAGGCTTTTCTAAAAAAATACAGAATCCCCCCATATATCGACTGGATCCCACCACAGCCTTTTTGCGCGCGCATTTGAAAATGTGCTAAAAAAATTTGAGAAAATGTACGGGGATGGGATACAGCCGACGCATGGTGGGGGGCTGTTAAAAAAGCGGAAGGGGGGTATTTGAAAAAAACGAACCTGAGTTGTTAACCGATAGCTCATCAGTTCGAATTCCCCATCAGGCGGGATGAAAGAAATGGTCCTTTCAGCCTCGAACCGGGACAACCGGACGCATTGGTGGAACTTGACGTCCTCCAGCTCGACGCCTCGTCCCGCGGCTCCTCTTCCTGTAAGTCTCGTAAATACAACGACAAAATGCTGGTCAAACTAACGAGGTCCAGTGGCGGCGGCCTGTTGGAAAATGACCTTATCATTAAGTCCCAGGCGCAGCTCGGGCATGCCCGATAAAACGACCCGCATTCGGATGCTACCGACAATTTCGCTACGTAGGACGGTCCCTTGGGCGTTGGCCTGAAAAAATTCAAACTTAACCCTAATTTTTGAATAGAAGTGGTTGAAAGGAAACTGAGACAGGTTTAAAAAACAGCTTTTTGAAAGTCTAGTGGCCACTTAAGTGGTTTCTCAAGGATTACTTGGAAAGGACACTAAAGTGGCCACTAAACCCACCTCTATAGTGGCCACTATTTTCCGTTATAGTGGCCCCTTCAGTAGTTTTCTATTGCAGCTTTTCTTCCAGTAACTCTGATGATTTAAAAACAAACAGATTGGACCAGTTATGTTGATCCATTGACCCCTAAAGTGGCCACTAAAATTTTTAGTGGTCTATTAATTGCACTTAGACTTCTATAGTGGCCACTTATTTTTAATCCCTTTAGGGACCACTAATTTGACTACTACAGTGGCCCCTAAAACGTCGAAACCCTATAGTGGCCACTAAAACGTCAAAACCCTATAGTGGCCACTAAAACCTCAAAACCCTATAGTGGCCACTAAAACGTCAAAACCCTATAGTGGCCACTAAAAAATTTTCCCAGAAAGGCCACAAAAATTTTAGCCGTTTTAGTGGTCACTAATTCGACTACTATAGTGGACACTTGAACATCCAAACCCTGAAGTGACCAGTGAAACGACAAAACACTTAAGTGGTCACTAAAAATTTACACTACAGTGAGCTTGGAAACAACTTGTGAAACGTTTACAAAAATCGGCAATAACACCTGTTTCTTTATATTTTATAGTTTTGAGAGGCTAGAAGAAGGCGAAAATTGTGTTTTTCGTTTACAAAAGTTTCACAAAATTCCCTGATTTTTTCAAAAACCCACCATCATATTGACACTTTCTATCACGTCGAGGAAAACTTCATTTTTCCGGTATCGAATCCCCTCGGATCGCCAAGAAACGGCATTAGTTACAGCCATTGGAGGCCTCGGAGCGGCTTCTAACCGATGACCTTGTTGAGTTATATATCTTAAAAATATTCTAGTTGAATTTGCCCTTCCAGAAAAAAAACAAACTCTTGCAAGATTTTCCCCTCTGTCGTTTGCGGATACCCAAAGTCCATCATCTCATCGAAAAGCTCGTAAATTATCACAAAATTATCCCGCACCGATTCCTCTTCCAAGTCTTTGAAGTACTCGCAGAATACCTGAGGATTTTCGAAATATTCAAAATTAGAACTTAAAATTTACCTCGACAAGTTTATAGAGATATGAGAGAACTAAAACCACGTTTAAATTCTTTTTCGACACGCTGACCACTAAAAATTTGAGCTATTAACTCAAAATTCATAGATGACATACAATAAAGGTTCATGTGCTTGATGTAGGTGTAGCTGATCCCGTTAAAATAAATGACCGGCGACGCCGTGCCTTCGTCTTCTTTTTCGACGAGAAGTGGCATGAACTTCTCGATACAGGCCATGTCCACATCTCCGCGGTAGTTTCGGGAAACCACCACCTTGAAATCACGAATTTTTAATCAGATTTTGAGTAAAATGGGATTTTTTTTCTTTTTTGAGCTCACGCGCAATGTCCGCAACTAGCAGGCTGGTTGCAGAAAATACTTTTTCACTACGCGCAATTATATCATTATCATTTTTTTCAAATTTTTTGTGTTCATAGTCATTTTGAAGCTTTTGCAAATAGGTAACGCGATAGAAAAAAATTGAGAGGATTTTTTTCAAATGCACTTTCAGTGACAATCCTGCCGCATTCTGTGCAAATTGAATAAAAAATTATTTTTATTTCACTGAGCAAAAAGTTTTTTTTTCCTCTATAATTTGACTAACGGCGTTTTTAAAGCTAATTTCCAATCAATTCTGCCTTTTTTTGAATATATAGTAGCATTTTTTGCAAGTTTTTTCACTAAAATTTCATTGTCAAAAAGTTCACAAAATGTAATTAATAATGAGAAAATTGAAAAACATACGTTCCCTTTCAAATCCAATATAAAAAGTGCGGACGTTGACATTGTGCCCGCAGTTGAGGCGCCTTAAAAAGGCTCTGCAAAAAAATCTAAGATGAAAAAAATAAAGAAATGAATGAGGACACGTAGCGAATAATTAGAAAAGTTGCAAATTGGACCATTTTTGAATTTTTAATTCATTTTTATTAAAGTATAAAAGTATTTTTCTCCTTGCTTTGTAGAATACTTTAGTAAAATCGTTCATATCCGTAAAAATGTAGGGATGAGAGGAAAATCTCGAGAATTATCCCGAACTTTTGTTTAAAGCTGGTAGCATAGCAACCTGGGAGGAAAATAAAAGAGCCTTGCGTATTGAGTGACAACCCAATTTTCGCGTCGCCTAATTAGCCGATTTTTCCCATTCAAAGGTATTCGACCTTGTTATGAGTTATATAGTGGCAGGATAATGGATCAATTTTGGGGAAAATGTGATAAAATTAGGGGGAAATTGATTGAAAACGGTTTTTCAAACGATTCATGACTCATTTACCGACGTTTTGCGATGGAAAATTTTTTAGACTTTTTTATAGGTACAATATACCGATTTTTTCTCATTCAAAGGTATTCGACCATGTTTTGAGTTATATAGTGACTAAACAATAGATCAGTTCAAGTAAAAATTTAAAAAAATCAAAAAATGACTTAACTGTTTCTCAAACGATGTATAGCGAATTTTTTTCGACATTTTTTTACGGTGAAGAGTTTTTAGCTACTTCCAGACTGATCATTTGCCGATTTTTTACTAATCATTTTTGGAGTTATATTGACACTTTATCGTTAGAATTTTGTATAAATAGACTCAAAACTCTAATTTTTTTGCTGATTTATGGCCAATTTTCAAAAAAAATTGAATTTTTTGCCACGTTCTCACTGATAAAGAACACTATAAACATTTCGAAATAGTACATTTCACAAGAAAATGTTTTTTGAACCTTTCAAATGCATGAAATACCTTTCTATTTCACTAAACAGAGGCTTTGAAGAAGGGAAAGTCTAGGTAAAATGAATAAGATCCCAGAATGCCTTTTATTAAAGGAGCATGGGCTAGATTCACAAAAAAGTATTGAGGGGAAGAGCCGTTCGCAGTAATTTTCGAGGTCTTGTTGCACTTTGCGCCTTTGAACACGTTCAGAAGAATTTTTGAATAATCTAGACTTTGTCAAGTTTTCTTATAGGTTGGAAATCACTAAATCAGGGCGTTCTGAGGCAAAAATGTCGAAAAAACGGCTACAGTGAGAAATAAAGGCGCCTCCAACAGGGAAAAGAAAGGGGAATCGAAGCATAAAATCGATCGATATGCGTAGAGGGAGAAGGAAAAACGGCATGCGCGAAACACACACACACACACAGAGACACATTGGCCACAGGTGAGACGGCCCTCTCTACAGCAAACATTGCCGCAGGAATGATACTAATATGGCCTTTCCGAGGTGCAAATCTGCCCCGGAATGTTGATGGAACCGTTTGGCGGCTTGGAAGAATGGTTTCGTGAAAAAAAAATCTCTTTTTTTCTGAGAAAATACTGGGAGAGGCTCGCCAAGGACTACTTGAAGAGGACACTAAAGAGGTCACTAAACCCACCTCTATAGTGGCCACTATTTTTCGTTTCAGTGGCCACGTTTAGTAGTTTTTCATCTAGTATTCCTTCCAGTAACCCTGATAATTTTAAAACAAACAGATTGGAGCAGTTATGTTGATCCCATTGACCCCTAAAGTGGCCACTAAATTTTTTAGTGGTCCAGTAGTAGCACTTAGACCTTCTAGTGGCCACTAATGTTTAACCCCTTCAGAGGCCACTAAGTTGACTTCTATAATGGCCACAAACAATTTTCCCAGTAGTTCATATTTTTGTTATAGTTAATCAAATCAGCTTGCCTGCTTATTTTTGAAAGAAATGATACTAATATGACTTTTTCAGGGTGCAAAAACTACCCCTGGGATGTTGATAAAACCGTTTGGGGGATGATTTTGAAGTGAAAAAAAAATATTTTTCTTAGGAAAACTGTTCATATTCAACGTATATTCACGTAAATCAGTCTCCTTCGTAATTTCTGTGAGAAATGATACTAATATGGCCTTTCCGAGGTGCAAATCTGCCCCGACATGTTGATGGATCCGTTTGAGACCTTAAAAGGAAGATTTTGAAATGAAAAAAAGTATTTTCCTTGGGAAAGTAGTTCATATTTTGTAATAGTGAATCGAATCAGCTTGCCTGTTTATTTCTGAAAAAAATGATACGAATATGGCCTTTCCAAAGTGAAATATTCGACCCCAAATTGTTTTTCGAAGCCTTTTAAAGGAGTAATCAATCAATTTTCAAAAAAATTAACGAAACGACCAGTCGTTTTAATGTTATTTAAGTTCCAGCCAAGGTTTCTGCGTCTTTAAACAACTTTGAACAGACTATCTCTTCAAGCTTTTGAGGGCTTATTTATGGATCAAATCCGATTCAAAAAAGGTTAGAAGTTTGAGAAAAGTTTATTTCTCTAAAAATATCTTGATTCATTGACCAACTTCACATTGAACAAGCCTTCTTATGAACAGAATTTCTTTGTTGTCCAAGGGATGAAGGGAGAATTCTCAAAACTTGGGATTTGTCAGTTGCGCTCCATGGATAATCCCCGCCTGCCGTGTTTGAAAATTTTGAAATTTTCGGCGCCCAGTTTTCTCGTTGTTTCTGTTTTCTTTTTGTTTTTTGACCTTCCAAGGATCGTTAATAATCAAAATGAGGAGGTTATCCGATTTGTTAAGGTAATAACTTCATCAGAATGAGGGAAAAGTTGGGATTTTTTTCATATCTTTTTTTCCTTTTTGTGAACTTTTTTACCTATCATCATTATTTTTGTTCAATTTTTCATAGACTATATGTTTTCAATTTCATCTGTTATTTAATTTTTGGTCGCGATGAGCTTCACTCAAAATTTTTTGAAACTGTTTTTTCATTTGCAAAAAAAAAGTTTCGTGTTTTTGAAAAAAAAGATATGAAAAAAACACGAATTTTTTTTTGCAAATGTATTTTTCCATATCTTCTCATATCATATCTTTCTATCAACTTTTTATATTTGAAGAAATTCCTACTTCTTTTTCAAGGAAAAATAAAAAAACTCATTTTTAATTTTGTTTTCTTCGAATAAAACTTTATCGTTTCCCACTTTGTATTTAGTTCCCTTTACAGGCTATGGTGAGCCTCCGCCACACAACAGTGGCCCAGACGCGGAATTTGAGATCGGCGGGGACCGACTTCAAGCGCAAACGTCTCGCCAACGACGCCAGTACCCGTTCCAAGACGGTTTCATCGATCGTTATCTGTCGCCCCGCAACTCCCGCCAGAACTGTCGGGCCGTTCGGCCGAAGTCCTGATGCAGGCGATCCGAAAAAGTCGCGCCACTAAACTCAGCCTTTCTCCGGCTCGAAAAACGACCCGCGCCGTTGCCCATCGTTCTGTCAGTCGTGAGAGGAGATCTCGCGGGAAAAATGTGGGAGTTTCCGCTTGTATTCCATCGAAATGGTATAGCCGATTCACGGTTATGCCGTGTTCAAAGTGATTTCCGCGAAATGCAAAATTATCTCTAACTCTCCGAAGTTTAGTTGTCTTTCTCTTTTTCTGGCGGCTTTTTTGAGACATTTTGAACACGGCATTAGCTTGAGACGCAAAACGGCATGACTTGTCTGCGCTCTCCACCAATCAGACACTATCTTTCTTTTCTTATCGTGTCAGGACCCGTTTTTCGATGGCTCAAGCCAGCCGTGAATCAGCTATGAAGTATATTCCAAAAGTGCTCTAAATTACTTAAATTATCACTGTAAACGGCTCGCTCCATCACGATTTTAGTCGTGAAAGGAGATCTCGCGGAAAAAACTTTCTTTTGTATCAAAGTGGTTATTCTGTTCGAAAAATATTTGTATCTACTTAAATTATCACTGAAAATGGCTCGTTTAGTTTTGTTTTTGTCGGCAGAAGGGTTTGCACAAGAAAAATGTGTTAATATTCCTTTTTTTTGCTTAAAAAGAGAGTATTCCGTTCAAAGTTATCGGTATTGAAATGCGCATAAGCTTTGAATGACTCGAAATAACACTACCAATGGCTCGCGCCTCTTGTAAAACATGAAAAAAAGATTTTCAAAATTATATATTTGAGTTCGAAAAACTTCGCAGAGGCCTGAAATCGCTTGAAAATCGGAATTTCGGAGTTGTTGAACGCATATAAATCCATTAGAAACGTTTTCGGCTGAATTCTTCGAAGCAGATTTTTCCTCTTTCTTTATCCAGTTGATTAACGATGTTAAAGGTACAAAAAATCTTCAAGAAAAATATGAAATTTTTTTCAAAAATACGAGCTGGAAAGTTATTAAAGGAGCATGTTCTATGAGATCCATGATAATTATCGAGAGGAAGAGCCGTTTTGAGCGTCATTTTAGGTAATTTAAGACTTATATGTCTTCAAATATCTTGTCAAGGAAGTTTCTAACAGCTGGGAAAATATGAAAACTAGTAAAAAGGGGAAATACAAAAAAAAAATATGATAATCTTCATTTTTTGGAAGATCTCATTTCTTTACTAGTTTCTTATCAAACTGGCCCTGCTTATCACTGACAAACAGGGTTCATTTCATCGCTATGAAAGAACTATTTGTACGGTTGTTATCGTAAATTGCCCAGTTTTTTTGTCAATTTTTCCTTTCCCAATATTTTTTTTCAAAACGTTTTTTTAGGTTTAGTTTAGTTTTATTTAAGCTATTTTCGCATATTTTCATGAGGAAACCTTAAAAATCGAAAAATTGGGATTTTCGCACATTTTCAAAAGGAAACCTTGAACATCGAAAAAATTGACATTTTTCGCACTCTTTTCTTTCAAACGTTTTCCTAAATTAAAGGAGCATGGAAAGTTGTGAGATTAAACTTCGGAGCGAAAAGCCGTTTTTTTAGTGTTTTTTTAGGCAATAATTGACTTCTGTTGATTTTTGATATTTTGGTTTTTGTATTTGTCATTCGGACTACGAAATGACGAATAAACACATGGAATTAAATTAAATGAAAGTTTATTAATTTTGTAAAAAAGGTTTCAATCAAATTTTAAGAAAATTTATGATTTGTTAGGTTTTCTTCATGATTTTGTAACCATTCGGAAATCGTATTTGACATAGAAAAAAATTGATTTTGTGAAAAAAATAAATTGAAAAAAAAATGTCATAATTCCTCTTAAATTTCAATAATTGCGTGAAAAAAAGTGTCTCGATAAATTTTCAAATTGCTTTATGATCTCATGAGTTTTTTTATCATGCTTAGTTTACCATTCAGAGAAGTTTACGCTAAAAATCAATTTTTTTGAAAAGACAATATGAACAAAAAATCATTTTTGCTCAAAGTTCATAAATATTTTTTTCTTTCCAGAATATGGCCTCTCCAAGAATCCAGCCCCTCACAATCGCCGTGAACTTGCCCAACTCGATGGACATTCCGGACACTCCAAGTCCCGAATTATTCGATGATCATTCGTCACTGTCGCCGACGCCTGAATCAACTCCGAGGCTACCGGCGGCCACCAGAAATGCCGTTTCGGTTTGATTTTGGCTTGAATTTGGTTTTAGCCTGGAAAATAGCCAAAAAGGACCTTATGAAGTTGATCTTTATTGCTAACTTTTATTTACTTATTTTTGTTCTTTTTTATCTAGAAAAACAGTTTTTTTCCCGATTTTCTGTATCTTATGGCTTCTCCTTTTTAGAAATTACAAACTTGGCTGGAAAAATTCATAGTTAAAATCAAATTGTTGATGCAAAAAGGTCCATTAAAAAGAGTTTTTAATATTTTTTTATTTTTTTAGTTTTAAATTTTTTTCTTTCAACAAATTTTAACTTTCCAAAAAGTAAACTGTTATTGAAAAAGTCATCGAAAAGCACTCGGATTTTATTTTTTTGCTATTTTTAGTTGAAGATCCGATTTTTAGGGTTTTAGGTCTTTTTGGTGTATTTTTTAAAAGTTAATCTTGTCAGATCAGTTTTTGCTGTTTTTAAAGGCAATTTTTAATCATTTTTGTTTTTGAATGCGTTTTTTTTTGATAAAACTTGAATTAAATCAACTCTACAGGTTTCTATATGGTTGAAGGTCCGATTTTTTAGGGTTTTCAGTATTTTTTTGGTTTACTTTTTTTAAAAAGTTAATTTTACCAGATCATTTTTTTGGCTATTTTTAGAGCAAGTTTTTTTCACAAGTTAATTCAACTCTTCAGGTTTTTTTATATGGTTGAAGGTCCGATTTTTCAGTTTTTTCGGTCATTTTTCATTGTATTATGCAAAATTAATCTTCTCAGATCATTCTTGGCTATTTTTCATGCGTTTTTTTGACAAAAAAATTTTTTTAATTTTCCATGTTTTATTTTGGGGCAATTTTTTTCGGTTTTTTGGACGTATTTTTCTTGAAATTTAGTCTTGTCAGATCATCTTTGGTTTTTTTAAATACAAACTTTCTCAAAAAGAAATTACATTCAACTCTTCAGGTTTTTTTTTATGGTTGAAGATTCGATTTTTCTGTTTTTTCGGTACTTTTTGGTGTATTTTTCTCAAATTTAATCTTGTCATATCATTTTTGGCTGTTTTTTTAAAGTTATGTCAGATCATTTTTTTGGCTATTTTCAATGCAAGTATTTTCCAAAAAAATCAAGTTAATTAAATTTTTTAGGTTTTTTTATATGGTTGAAGGTCCGATTTTTTTCAGGGGTTTCGGTCTTTTTCGGCCATTTTTCTTGCAATTTGACCGAAGCAAAAATAAAATTTAACTCTCCAGGAACCCTCAAGAAGGCCGGCAAGACCTCGTCATTCGGTCGCGACTCGATTCCCCTTCCTGTCCCCCTCAACGCCCGGCGGCGGCGGTGAAGAAGAAGACGGCGTCAAGACCCGAAGGATCAAAAAATCGTTTTTTAAAAAGCCATCAAAAATTTATATTCATGATTTGAATTCCAGGATCCACGCTTCTCATCCTCATTGTACGCTTTGCAAAAATCTACTCGAAGGATTTCGCGGGAACTTCCGAACCGCTGAAAGCTTGCTCCGAGTGTGATGCTAAATGTGCGCATTTTCGAGTTCTTTTTCGAAAAAAATTTTTGAGAAAAATAAGGAAGAAAAATAAATTTACTGCGTTTTTTTAGGCAGCTTTTCAGGAATTTTTTTTCAAAAAGCTTTTCAAAAATCTTTAAGAAAAACTTGAGCAAGTTATGAGGAAAATTGATAACCACAGTTTTCAGCGAATTTCCGAGGTTTTCCGAAAAATTTTGAGGAAATAAGGAAGGAAATGGATTTACCACAGTTCTCAGCGAATTTACAGGGATTTTTTTGTAATAAAATTTGACGGAATTCATAAAAATGATCCATATTTTACGGCGTAAATGTGGATTTCTGCCGATTTTTTCAGTTTTAGCACAATTTCGCTTTTTTATTCATTCATAGAATGTGATGTTTTCATTTGAATTTTGAAAAAAATCAAGGAAATTTATGAAAAATCCGATATTTTACGGCATAAATGTGGATTATAGCCGGTTTTTTCAGTTTTAACACAATTTTTTCTTTTTATTCGTACGATTTAAGAAATATTTATAGGACCTTGCTTTTTCTCATTCATAGAACGTGGTGTTTTCATTTGAATCTTGAAAAAAATCAAGGAAATTTTTGAAAAATCCGATATTTTACGGCATAAATGTGGATTATAGCCGTTTTTTTCAGTTTTAACACAATTTGGTATTTCTATTTGCACGATTTATAAGATTTATGAAGTGTTATACCTTTTTTTCATATAGTTCTATGTCTTTTGTTCGATTTTGAGGCATTTCGCGGTTTTTAGAAGAAAAAAATTTTGCCCAAAATACGGTTTAAATTGTCATTTTACGGTGTAAATGAGGATTATTGCCGATTTTTTCAGTTTAATCCCAATTTTCCACCTCTTTTTGTGAAAGTTTTCTGAAATTTTCTACAGGACCATGTCTTTTTAATGAATCCTATATTTTTTTGCTCGATTTTGAGAGGATTTTTTTCACGATTTTTTTGCTTGCCAGAGCGTTTTTTTATCCAGTTTATTCAGCTTTTTAACTTGAGAATTCTTTTGTAGAAAAATTTGGTTAACTTTGAATGAAATTTGTGTTTTTTTATAGTGTAATTATTGCAATACAATTTTAAATAAGTAGCCATTTTTAAACGATTTTTTTCATTGAACAAAGAAAAGGATCGAATATTAACAAATAAGAAAGTTAAAGGACCTTTTTAAGGTTCATATAATGTTAGAAAATTCAAGTTTATTTCAAATATGATGCATTTTGTATCGATTTTGCCTTGGAAAAATACCCAATTTTCATTTTTCAGTCCATCTTCGCAGTTGCCTAAAGTACAACGACATTTTGGCGAGGAAAATTGAGAAGAAATATTCTTGGTCCTGTGCCAAGGTTTTTTCCAGTTTTAGCTCAATAAAAATGGATTTTTTTCAGTGTGTCCGGTGCCAGAAATGCGCGCAATTCATCGCGGATCCCTCGAATGTCGAATGTTGGGAGTGCGCTTTGGCCTGGCACGGGGCCTGCAAGCCGACCAAGGGCCACACCCAGGGAACCCATTTCGGCGCTCCCTGGTACTGCTCCTCGTGCACCCAGAAGCTGGGACTTTCGTCAGTTTTTGGAGCATTTTTTTTGAGCTTAAAATGCGCCCCCATGCCTACAGTACCTTTTCGTGTCATTACCCGCCACGATGATCCTTTAATAGCAGTTTTTGGAGGATTTTTTTACACCCAGAAGCTGTGACTCTCGTCAGTTTTTCGAGAGCAGTTCGGACGATTTTCATCCATTTTCGGCTCATTTTTTAGCATAAGCTGCTCATGATGCGCCCCCATGGCTACAGTACCTTTTGGTGTCATGACCCGCAACGATGATCCTTTAATAGCAGTTTTTGGAGCATTTTTTAGCATAGTCTGCTCAGATTTTGAATATCCAGCTGCTTAAAATGTGCCCCCTTGGCTACAGTACCTTTTCGTTTTAATAGTGCTCCAATTTTGGATATTTTAAGCTTGAAAAAATTCGAAATATTATGCGCTATTGAAGGATCATCGTCACGTGTGATTAAACTTTGACACGAAAGATACAGTAGCTTCGAGGCGCGCGGCCTGTCTCTGTGCATGCGCCTTTAATTTAAAACCCAGAAGCTTGTGTTCACCAAACTTCCTCACCTTCATTTTCAATTTTACAGACCGCAAAAAAAGCCAGCCAAAAGGCCTAGGAAAAGTACGCCGAAGGTCAAATCTCCCACGGAAAGTGGGAAAAGACGGTCGAGAAGCAAGAAGGAGCGATCTGTAACTCCCAGGTAATCAATTTTAGAAAAAATTTCAAGTAAATGGTCTTTTATAGTTTGTTTTATAGAAATATTCAAAGAAGGTAGAGTTAAGAGCTCACTTGAGGGAATTTTAAAAAGTCTGTAAACAATTTAGGCCAATAATGGGTTCTACGCAGAACAATGTACGCTAGCGCGCACATGAGTTGTGTGTAGGTTTACGGGGACTCCGCATTCCACAACAATTAGGTTTATTACGCTTTCATTGAACCATAGAACTTCCGAAGCTAACTATCGATCTTCTTTTTAAAAAAAATTCTGGGTTTCTCAATTTTTTTGAACGATCCATGACCCCAAAAATAATCAGTTTTAGAATAAATTTCAAGAAAAATCGGATTTTTTTAGACCAGAAAAAAATGACTTTGAAGATTAATTTCGAAGAGAGTTCCATATGATTTTTTTATAAGAAGTATTTTAAGAATACAAGATCAAGGGACCGCTTGAGAGAATTCGAGAATCAGTTCAGTTATTTATTAGAGATTTAACGCTTTTTATTTGAGCCATAGAACTCCAGACGTTGAAATACTTCCAAAAAAATCAATCGAGTTTTATTTTTTTCGAATGGAATAATGAGTTTGAAGCTTAATTTTAAGAAAAAGGATTTTTATCTTTTTTTTTGTATAGGAATATTTAAAGGAGATAGAGTAAATGGTTCACTTGAGGGAATTTGGAGAAGTCTGTTTGAATTTTCTCAAGTTCCCACGCTTTTATTGTACCAACATAGGCAAAGTCGGAGAGGGTGAAAAAAGCTCTTTTAAGGATGATAAAAATTCCTTTTTTGTTGCCTTTTTGCGCCATTTTATCGGCTCTTATGAATATTTTTTGCTGTCTCCCTCCTTTCCACCATTTCTTGAGCCTTGAAAATCCCAGAAAAAATGGAAGGCTCGATAAAGAGACCCTTTTTGGCGCCTTTTTACAGCTCTTTTGGTGCCCTTTTGATGCCTTTTTTGTGCCCTTTCGCGGCCTTTTTCGAGCCTCTCCCTTTTAGCGGCCATTAACCAACAATCCGATTTTGTCCGTGACTTTATCATCATTTATTTTTCGAAAACAATAGATTTTTTCTCAGTTGGGAAGACGCCGAAACGGAAGAACTGATGGAGCTTCGATACAAGCTCTACGACGAACTCGTCGACGCCGCCGGCCTCGGATCGCCTGCGAAAACGTCGCCGCCCAAATCCCTGAAGAGATCGCTCTCGCCGCAGAAGCGACCCCTGGGCGCCTCGGCGACAAAAGTCGCCCGCGCCCCCGCGAACGATCATCTGTCGTCGCCGGGACCGTCGTCGTCGTCGTCGTCGGCGACGCCACAGCGATCGCAAGGGACGCCGGACTCGCGGTTCCGCTCGCCGCATAATCCAAGTCAAGGAGGTGCCGATTATTCAAAATTGAGCGTTTCTAGAGTTTTAGGGGTTTGAAGAAAGTTTTTTTTTAAAGATTTCTGTTTTTCTCTGCGCCCTCCCTATGTCTAATTTGAAGCCCAAAAATGTCGAATGCGCTCCATCGAACACAATTTTAGAATTTCGTGATTTTAAGCTCAAAAACTGTCAACCTCAGGATCTTCAGAGGGGTTCCTATAGGGACAATCTTAGGGAGCCCTCTAGGGACCACTTATTTGTGTAGGGGTCACCAAAGCTTGCAAAAGGGATCCCTATAGGGGACATGGTTGTCGTTAATTTTTATGAACTCTAAGCGAACAAGCATTTCCATGGGAAAAACTGAATAAGAGTTTATTGAATAAAATTGAAAGACCCCTATAGGGATCACTTGAGCATTAGGGGCTCAGGGGCCAGACCCTAAATCCCTATAGGGACCACCTTGATTTCACCCCTATAGGGGTCTTTTCTCGATCATTATAAGGGTTATAGGGACCCCTATAGGGACTAGTTCGGAATTCGTAAGTATTTTGATTGTAAGAACAGGAATTTTGGTCCCTAGTGCTTTTTTTATTATTTTTTTTAGCGATACGAGTTTCTAAAGGAAAAGTCTGTGAATTTTCGAAAATCTTCTTTATTTTTCCATGATGTTTATCCTAATCCGTTCAAAAAAATCTCATTGAAAATGTAAGAAAGCCAATTTAATTATTTAAAATCAATTTTTTTCAAAGTCGGACTTCAGAATCGTCGAGTTCCAGTGCGATACGGCAGCTTTTCCCGCGCGAATCGGCCCGTCAACCATTACGAATCGCAATCGAACACGATAGACAACTGTAAAAATTGAAAATATACATTTTGAATCTATAAAAGTCGATTTGAAGGTTCGAAGCGGCTCTGAGGGATTATGAGAATCGGGTGGAAGTCGAACCGGTGAGAAATAATTTCGAAACACCGTCGACAGAACAGTGGGTTTTCCTCGGCCGTGGCGAGGCGATGAAGGTGATTTTGGGAGAAAATAAGATTTTTTAGAGTTTATTCCAGGAATTTTTAGTTATTGAAGGGTGGTATAATGATGATCTAGTTGTATAAGCTCAAAAAAAAAGCAAGCTAAAATCCTAAATTTAAAGTTCAAAAAATGTCAAATTTCCTCCATTAAAGAAAAATTGAAGAAAAATTGAGAATTTCGGGATTTTGAGCTCAAAAATTGTCATAGATCTGAGCTACAAGGACAACTTTGAAAACTTGACAAATTTCTAAATTTTAAGCTCAAAAGATGTAAAATGCGCTCCATTGAACAAAACTTGAGAATTTAGTGTTTGAGCTCAAAAAGTGTCATAGATCTGAGTTAGGGGGAAAACTTAGATAACTTAAAAAATTCCTAAATTTAAGCTCAAAAGATGTCAAATCCGCTCAACCGAAGAAAACTTGAGAATTTCGAGTTTTTGAGCTCAAGCAGTGTCATAAATCTGAGCTACAGGAGAAATAGTTGGATTTTACGGTTTTAAAACATTTTGAAATTCCAGAAACGCTTTTATGGGCCAAAAATATGTAGAAAACTGATTTCACAGTTGGTTGAGCCTTGGTTATTAAAATAGCTTTTTTTTTCCTATATATGGTTTTTTTTTTCTGTTGTTGTAATGCTATCACTTTATAGATAATTTCTAAAGAAATTAAAGAAATATAACGGAAATTAGTTATTTTTTTAGGCCCTTTGCGCGTCGGCCTACGGTGGAAAGTTGCAAACGTCCTCGGAAATCCACGTCTGCATGTTTTGTCTCCACGCGACGCACGATCGAACTTTGGCCGAGATTCATTGGGTTAATATCCATTAACGTAAATGGAAAATGCAAAGAAGTTTCATTGATTATTAAAAGTTGATTCCTTTTTTAGCGCTAGTTTGGGGTGTTATTTGAGAAATCCCTATTTTTAAGCTTTCTACGGCTATTTTCGGAAAATTAGACCCTGAAGAAGGGTTCATTTCTGAGGAAACTTCTGAAATTGAGCTTGGTTAAACAACGCATATGATTTCGGAGTTAAAGACTGTAAATTTTTGAATTTTCCTCTTAGAATAATTGAAAATGATAGCTTTTTTTGGAACTTATCACAGGGAGAGTTTCAAAAAAAAGTATTTCGGGAAGATTTTAACGGAAAATTTGGAAAACAAGGCCTTGAGAAGAATGCTCCAAACAGGATTTTGGGATAATGAGCCTTGAATGGACTTTTTTTAAATGAGTTTGATTAAAAATCGATCTTCCAGAAAGACATTTTTCAATGCTCCTTTTTGAAGCTTCTGAGCAAGAATTTTTCGAAATTGTTAAAAAAAAATTCTGGCCTCGAAAATTGGCTCCTTTTATTAAACTTTATCGAAAAAAAAAGCTGCCCGAAGAGCGGAATTCATTAAAATACATTTTTGGGAAGGTCAGGGGAGGTAATTTTACTTTGCGCTTGAGAACTTCTTGAAAATTGGCCAGCACACTTCTTGATGTACTGGATGAAGATCTTGAAAATCTCAACTTCCTAGTTTTCGAGAAAAAAAGCACCAAAATACAATATTGTTATGGATTTTGAAAGTTTTCTTCGACTTTCAGGCGTCTTTTCTCAAAAAAAAAAGAAATTTGTGCATTTTGAAACTTTCAGAATCTTCTTATGATACATCAAGGAGCGTCCTGGCCAATTTTCATGAAAATCCCAATCGCAAAGTAAAATGACCTCCCTTGTGAGCTAGAAATTTTTAAAAGTTAATGTTTCTTGCAAATTTTCGGATTCAATGTCTCGATTTTTCCAGGACAACTGTGACTGGCGATATCCGCCTGGCAACGAGATCTACCGCGACGGGAACTTGTCGTTCTTCGAAGTCGACGGCGCCAAAGAGAATTGGTATTGCCGGAACCTGTGTCTCCTCGCCAAGCTGTTCATCTCCTCGAAGACGCTCCACCACGAAGTCGACACCTTCCTCTTTTATGTCCTCTGCGAAATAACCAACGAGGGACTCGTTATTGTCGGATACTTTTCCAAGGTACTTTGGGCCCTTGGAATCATCTAGAAATGAGGATTTTTGAAAGGAAAATGTTTTTTTGGGAGGGGCGAGGAGCTATGGTTGTTCTAGAAGGCTACAGCTCATAGAGAAATAATGACTGTCATTTTTGGACCCCATAGAAGACACTGAAGCTTGCAAAAGTGGTCACTCTAGAGGAATATGCTAGTCGTTTAGTGATGTGGACTTCATGAGAAAAAGTATTTCTATCCGAAAAATTGAACGGAAAAAATTGAAAGAAGTTATTTCTGTATTTTTCAACTATTGGTCTTAGAGCTTCAGAAATGTATCTTGGAATTTTAAACAGAAAATGTTTTTAATCGAAAAAAAATGGGTCGAAAAGAACATTTTCGACTCAGTTTGAAGCTTGAAAAACGTTATTTTGCTATTTTTCAACAACAAGTCCATGCTGGAAATAGAAGCTCGAAAAATAATGATTTTTTAATGGAGCGAAAGCTCATAATTGTAGAGCTGCGACTATTGGAAAAGTGAAAAACTCATGAATTGACGGAAAAAGTTGTTTTACAGCATGTTTTGAACGGAGGAAGCCTAAAAATCTTCATTTTCTATTTTTCAACCTTTAAATGTTCTAGCCTCATAAATATTTAATTTTTCTGCTCTGTAAGATATTTTCAATCCGCTCAATTTCGCTTGGAGCTTTCAAAAAATAAAATTTAGGAAAAGAACCCGAGCAAAAACAACAATTTGTCGTGTTTGCTGACGCTTCCAAACGTTCAGAGGATGGGCTATGGACGATTACTTATCGATATGAGTGAGTTTGGGGGAAAAGTCGAAAATAATAAAAAATAAGACAAAAATAGGCTCCTAACAGCTTTTGAATGGTTCACAGATGAAAATTGAGCCTAAAAAAATTTGAAAAATCGAAATTTGAATTTCGCGGGTTATTTTTGAGAACAATTTGGTTCAATTTCAGTGTTCCGATGAAATTTTGCAAGAAGGATTTGAATTGAGTCAATTCAAGTCGTTGAGAAAAAAATTTCTTCCTAAAAAATGGCTCCTGGTTGGTGTTGAATAAGGAAAAATTGAATGTAATTTTCAATTTTCCCCGTTTCAGTCCGTAGTTAAAAATAATGATGCGAGGCAGGTTGATATTGGTTCGGATTTTAGAGAAGAGCTCAAAAAATGATTTTTCGGTTTTTAGGACAAACTCTATGATAAACTATACAATAGGACCACAAAGAAATTATTTTTTTCTAGAAAAACCCGAAAAAAGTCAGTTTTTGAGCTTACATTTTAGATGGGCTATTTTACAATGCCTTATCGCGCTCCACAGATAATTTTTACTTTTTTCGAATCCTCAAGCTTAGGGCTAGGCACAACAGAAGTTTGGACCAGGTGTCTAATTTTCACCTTTTTTGAGAGTTGGGTTGAATTTTTTGATTTTTTTTTGTCTTGTTTTGAGAGCAAAAAGTCGCGTTTTGATCTCTGATAGTCTCTGATACTTTGGCGCGCAAGTAGTTGTAGGTCGGGACGTCCCTAAAAGCATCCGCGAAGCTTGGAGCCATTCCAAATGCGGCCACGGTTCTCAGTTAAAAAAGAGAACATTTCTAGGTTACGCCCTGTCGAGATTAGAGCGAAAAATCGGATCTCCAGAACATCCATTGTCGGATCTCGGCCTCCTGGCGTACCGAGGCTATTGGCGTTCCAGTATTTTGTGCTTCCTTAGGTAGTTTTGTGGAATATTTGAACAACCTGAATTTCCGGCTTCAGATCAATGCGGGATCAGCATCGAAGCGTCGTTTCCATCAAGGAAATGAGCCTCCAAACAAGAATCAATCCGATCGATATCGTAAACCAACTGATGAAGGACAAAATGCTGCAGAGCCGTCGGGATTCCTACTACATCAAGACTGGAGTTTGATTTTTTCCTCAAAAAAAAACGGTCTTGGGCGGAAGTGTAGTGGAGTAAGGCTGTGATAACAGTGTTATCAGCGGTTTTCTAGGCTAGAAATTTTGGTTTGAGAACGTTTTGGACGTGTAAAAATCAACAAAAGTGTTTTTCTAGCTCGAAAAATAGGTAGAATCACCCTAAGATTGCAACAGTAGATAGCAAAGTGCGCAAGTCGGCTTGGGTCGGGTGCATTATAGAAAAAAATGTTTGGAATCATAACTGAGACTCAAATCATTCCAAATGCGACCAGATTGTTTCAATTCGTCAAAAATGCAGTATATATTTATTTGATAGCCTCTCAAGCCATTCCAAATGCGACTAGGCAGAGAAAACATTATTATCAGCGAGTTTCAGGCTGGAAATTTTGGTTTGATTCGAAAAAATAGGGTTTTTAAGGCGTCTAAAAATCAACGAAATTGTTTTGCTAGCTCTAAAAACACGTAGAATCACACTAGGACTGCAATAGTAGATAGCAAAGTGCGCAAGTCGGTTTTGGTCGGGGCCATTATAAAAAAAGCAAAATTTTTAATCATAACTAGAGCTCGAGTCATTCCAAATGCGACCAGAAGGTCTCAAGACCTGAAAATAAAGTATTTTTGGCTAATAGCCCCTTAAGCCATTCCAAATGCGACCAGAAAGTTTGAAGTCCTAGAAATGAAGTATATTTCTTTAACAGCCCCTCAAGCCATTCCAAATGCGACCAGATTATTAAAAATCGTAAAATTTGAAGTGTATTTCTTTAACAGCCCCTCAAGCCATTCCAAATGCGACCAGAAAAACTAAAACAAAATATAAAGTTGATTAATTTAAGAAGCGAGGCTACAAGTACGCTCTGTCGCAAATGAGGAGGAAAACGGTCAACCTGGAAAAGCTCCAATGGGAGCCGAACCCACAAGAAATCGCCCAACTCGACCCTCACAAAATCAACTTCTATGTATAAATCCGCCTTTTTTGTACCCCATTCTAAGCATGTTCTTTTTTTGTTGATAAAAGTCTTCTGAATCGAGGAGAACTTTCGTTTTCCACACCGAAACCGAAAACCCGAACAAAAGACACCCACGGCGACTAATCCTTGACTTACCGCCACGTGGGGTTGGCTTTTGGCGCCCTGCCAGATGAGATTTCTTTTTTTTTTTCATTTATTCTTGGCCTTTTATTTTATTTTTAATACATTTTTTTGGTTCTATTTTTCAGGTTTTTTTAATGAATTTCAGATATAATAATTATTTTAAATAATATATTAAGATTATTCCAAAATAGGTTTTTCATATTTAAACATTTTTTTCAGGTACAAAGATGGTATAAAATTTATTTTTTTCAGGCTTTTTTTATACTAAAAAGCTCGTATTTTCATAATAAAAAAAGGTAGTTGAATGGAAAAAAATTGAAAATATAGGAGTCAAAAAAATCATATTTATACAAAAGATTTAAAAAAAAGACACTTTTTCGTAAATCATCCAGTGAAACTCGGGACAGTCTCATTTCTCTGCGCTCTCTCTTCTCTTATTCCTCACCGGTGAGAGAAAAGAGGGTGCAGACAGGCTAGATAATGTTTCACGTCGTGACGAATGATTTCTCTGCACTCTCTCTCTTTTCTTATTCCTCCCCGGTGAGAGAAAAGAGGGTGCAGGCAGGTCAGAGAAGACTTCAAGTCGCGACGAATAAAGTATACTTTTTCTGAATTAAACCGTTTGATTTGAACTTTCCCAGCAAGCCAAAACACCATTGAACTCTATTGTTTATAGCCAAATGTCTGATAAAAACGCCTCGGTCAGTGCTTATCGGTCACCCGCCCCTTTGCTGGCCCGTCAGCTCCGAGGAATTCTCCGGGAGTTCATCATGAGCCTGTCCTTGATCGATTTCATCGCCTATTCGGCTGTTATTTTCACGGCTTTTGTAATTATCCGCTATTTTATCGAGCTTCTCCAAATTTCTAATTTGAAAAGGAGGGCCGTTTTTATCACTGGATGCGATACTGGTCGGTTTTTTGAGATTCTAAAATGATTTTCAGCATTTTTATTAAGGTTTTTATTCAGGATATTAAGGTAAAGTGGTCCTTTTAGGATTTTCTAAATATTTATTTATACTGTTTTTGAATTTTTAGACTTTAGACTTCTTTTAAATTAGCTTAATATTCAGGTTTAAGATTTTTTGAAACTTGAAAAAAAAATTATAGCCATCAGGATAGTCTAAAAAGCTACCTGAAGGCTATAATTTATCTTTTTCTTCTTTTTGAAGCTTTTTTGAGGTTTTCAAGGGGCAGAAATTCATTTATCGCTTATTTTTTGCCTTCTTTCAAGGAATTTTCATTTTTTTCGAAGAAGAGTCTTTCAAAAAGGACTCTAAATATGAAATTTGAAGGTCCTTTTGAATTTTAAAAAAACTTAAGATCTTGGGTTTTTTTCGAGTTTTTTTAGGTGATTATAAAGCTTCATAGATGATTCCCTAGATGATTTTCGAAAGTACAAGATCTTGAAAGTTTTTTTTTGTGAATTTTTTTCAAGTTTGAATATTTAACGTTGCTTCGAGCTTTGAAACATGTGAAAAATTTGAAAAAAAATTTTTTAGGTTTTTTAAACTTATAAGAATTGGTTTTTAATATCTTTCATGTTGGCAATTCGACTTTTTGAGGCCAAAATCCAACTAAACTTACCTATGTGGCTCTGTAGCTTCAGAAAACGATCAGAAGCTTTAAAGGAGTTTATATTTTGTTTATTTATTCATTTATATTCATTGGGAAAGTCTTCAATGGCCACTATAGAGGCTCCCCAAGGACTACTTGGAGAGGACACTAAAGTGGCCACTAAACCCACCTCTATAGTGGCCACTACTTTCCGTTTTAGTGGCCACTCTAGAGGTTCTCTATTTAGTGGTCATTTCAGTATTTTTCATCCAATATTCCTTCCAGTAACTCTGATAATTTTAAAACAAACATATTGAACCAGTTATGTTGATCCATTGACCCCTAAAGTGGCCACTAAAATTCTTTTGTGGTCTAGCAGTAGCACTAGGACCTCTATAGTGGCCACTAATGTTTAACCCCTTAAGTGACCACTAATTTGACTACTGTAGTGGCCAATAAAAAGTCGAAACCCTATAGTGGCCACTAAAAATTTTCCCAGTAGATTTTGAGGTATTGGAAAATTCAGGTTTCGGCCATGATCTGGCGATCCGCTGCTTGCAGCACGGAATGCCAGTTTTTGCTGGTTGCCTGACTGTTAAGGTTTCAAAATGCCCTTATTAAGATATAACAAAAATATTTCTAGGGATCAGAAAACCTCGAAAAAGTTTCCAAGCTTCTGTCCGGGAAACTTCGCGTCATAATCATGGACGTCACGAAGAAGGAGGATATTTTAAAAGCCCGCAAAATTTTGGAGGATGAATGTCCGCAATATGGAGGTTCGAGGGGGAAAAAAAGGAACTTGGAAAAGTGCAGAGATTTGAATTTCAAGTGGAGAATCGCAACATTTTCGGGGAATTTTTGGTCTTTTTTTCGTTCTTTGTGTCGTAAAGTTGGGATTGAAAACAAGGGAGTTACAGTAATCTTTTTGGCTTTCTGGTTGAATTATTTTATCCTTAAAGAGGAATCGGAAAAAGGTGAAAAAAGTACTTTTTTCAAAGATTGGGGAATAAAATATTGAATAAAGTTATTTAGACAGGTATATGTTAACTTATCGATTGAGGAATGGTTTTATAAGGAGTTTCTTTTTTTGAGTAAGAGGTTGAGGTTTGGTTGAGAAAAACTATGAGAAAAAAATATTTTGTTCATCCATTTTTTGAATAATTTATATTTCAAAAATCGAAATAATCCCGCCTCCAGGACTCCACGGACTCGTCAACAACGCCGGGATCACCAGCAAGGAAGCCTACGACGATTTCCTGACCCTGGAAGACTACAAAAAAGTGGCCGATGTGAACACCTGGGGCGTCATTCAAGTCACTCACGAGTTGAAGCATCTTGTCAAAAAGACGAAGTGATTTATAATATTTGTTAATAACCTGGAAGAATTAGCTTCAGAAGTACCTAAAAACGACATAAGAAGGTTCAGGTAACATGGTAAATTTTTAGAAAAAGACTAGGAAATTTTTTTGCAGCTTCAGGATTTTATGAGTCTCCCAAAGGCTTCATTTTCATCAAAAAAGTTATCAGTTAAAAAAAGGCTGATTTTCGTAATATGCGACGCTTGAAATTTCATCGAACGACATTCCGCTGTTCCGCTGCGCGCGGTCGCGAAGCTTCTTTGCGAATCTCGGCCGCAATTTTCAATTTCATTCCAGTACTCGATTTTAACTTGGAACCGTCTTTTCACCTGAAAGAATAAACTATCAAAAGCGCGACCAAGATTCGCAAAACCGCGTCGCGACCGCACGCAGCGCAACAGCGGAATGTCGTTCGGTGAAGTTTCAAGTCATGGCACATACACTATGAAATTTGATAGGGTTTCAAAATGAAAAATCGTTCAATTTCTCCAAATATTCACCCCCAGAGACCGAATCTAGAAGAATTAGCTTTAGAAGTATCTAGAAACGACACAAGATGGCCTAGGTTACATGCTCAGGTCTTAGAAGAAGACTAGAAAAAAATTTTTGCAGCTTAAGAATTTTATGAGTTTCCCAAAAGCTTCATTTACATTACAAAAGTTATCAGTTCAAAAAAAAGGCTGATTTTCGTAATATGCGACGCTTGAAATTTTCTCGAACGACATTCCGCTGTTCCGGGGAGTGCGGTCGCGTAGCGTCTTTGCGAATCTCGGCCGCAATTTTTAATTTCATTTCAGTACCCGACTTTGCTTTGGAACCGTCTATTCACTAGAAAGAATAACCCATCGAAAGCGCGACCTAGATTCGCAAAACCGCGTCGCGACCGCACGCAGCGGAACAGCGGAACGTCGTTCGGTCAAAATCCAAGTCATGGCACACAGACTCGAAATTTCAACCAAATGTTCACCCCAGAGGCCGAATCGTGACGGTGGCCAGCATCTGCGCCCGCGTCGTTCTCCCCTCAAATGGCCCCTACAATGTCGCAAAACACGCCGTCGCTGCTTACTGTGACACTATTAGGTTTTTTTCGAAAGATATCCGAACGATTTCGAAATTTTCAGACAAGAACTCCGACTTTTCGGCGTCTCAGTACACATCCTCGAGCCGGGATTCTTCAAAACCCCGTTGATTGACTTCCCGAAAATGAGGGTTCAATGAAAGAGTTTTGATTCAAATTATTCGATTTTTCAGGCAGAGATGAGCAAAGGCTGGACGGACGCGCCGAAACACGTGCGAGAGGAGTACGGCGAGGAGTTCTACAAGAAAAGTGAACGAGTTTCGAAATCAGAAAATTGGAGCGAAATCAAAAAAAAAGTGAACAGTATTAGGCAGAAACTTGGTCTTCCAGGGTTGCTTTATCAAGAAATCAGAAGAAAAAGTGAATTTTAGAACAAAAAAACTGGAAAACTTTAACTAGTTTTTTTGAGCTGTTTTCTCGGAATTCAATCAATGCTTTTTTTTACTGTTTTTTTTTGTTTATTGCGTCTTGTAAGAATGTAAGAATACATGTGCAATCGACTTTCATTGGTTTGACTGCGTTTAAACAGCGGCAGGAGCTGTGGCTTAGGCGGAGAAGTGTGAAATTCGCTCGTAGAACATCAGGTACAAGAAAGGTCGTAGGAAGAGTTACGGTGCTTTCCAAAGGCCGATGTTAGGGATTGAGCTTTTTCGCTGCATCTTCCAATATTATCTACCCCGGAGGGATGGAAGGCTTGGTCGACCTTGGGGGGGGGGGACTCGAACCTACGACTTCGCGGACGTTAGAAATGAGTCTTACTAGTTGAGCTATGCCGCCCCTTTTTTTTAAATGATAATGTATTTTTAACAGCCGAGAGCTTGATAACATGTACAAAAACGGATTAAAAGTGATGTAAACATGTAAAAAAAAATACTGAAAAGAAATTAAGAACATGCTGAAAAAGTCGGCCGGTTCGGACACTTTTTTTTTATGACGCCTATTTTTTCAATTTTCGAAATTTGAAAAGTTTTTTTTGGGCTTTATAAAGGTGTTAACGGTTTTCAAGTACCTATTTTTTCATTAAATGACGAAGTCAGTTTTTCGAAAATTCTGGCCAATATATTCACGAAAATTCACTTTTTTTTCCCCTGAATTTCACCAGTTTCGCCAAAAAAATGCTTCTAAATCTTAATGAACACTATTCCGTACTTGAAAGACTTCAGTTTCAGGTCAAATTATAAATTTTCCCATGAAATTTATTGAAAAGAACAGAAAATCTACTTTTTCGAGACACTCTCTTGATGTAGCGAAGAGTTTTTAACAATTGAAGAAAATTTGAATTTTTTTAAGGCGAAGAGCTCAGCTTGGACTTCCTGCAGACGGTCAGTAGCGACCGGATCGATTATGTCATCGACGCCTACTTCCACGCCTTGACCGCCGTCTTCCCTCGTCCCCGTTATCAAGTCGGCTGGGACAGCATCCTTTTGTAAATTTTTCTTTTTTACTAGAAATTTCTGAGCCTGCTCCGAATTTCTATAGTGAGAAGTTACAGAGAAGAATATTAAAAAAATAATAATAAATGACTGAATAAGGTCCGTGAAAATCTCGCATGGAAGGTTTGAAATTTTCTATAAATTTGCTCAATTCTGACCATGAGAAGCATGCTAAAACTTCAAGGATTTTCCAAAAGTTTATCAGCGCAAATAACTAATTTTTTGATAAAACATGGTCATCGAACTATTTTTGAACGGTTTTAATCATGAAATTTTGATATTTTCATCAGAATCCGTCAAAAAAAGTAATGGCAAAAAACGGTAGCGACAAAAAAATTCGAACCTTCGACATAGGCTCCGTAAGTTGCCGCGCTAGCCACTGCACCACGCTCCTAGCTGCAATGCAATGGCTGGTGGCGCGGACACATTGCTTCCGAACGGTGTCACGTGTTTAAGGATGAAAACTTCAAAAAATCATATCTCCAAAACGAAAAGTTTGCGCAGATAGCGACTTTGGGGGATCGACTCTCAGTCCTACAAAGATTCTTTGAGAAAATCTATAGAAAGTTCCGAACCCTATGCAAAAATGACCCTCCATGTTAAATAAGTTTCTCTGATTATGAAAAAAAAAAAATTGTTTCCGAGTTGTAAAGCAATTTTTGACCGGCTTTCCCTAGGTACTCTATGCCGCTTTGTAGAAAATGGATTTATTCCGATTTTTTTAGGAACAAGTTGCCAAATTTCGAACCCGATCTGAAATTTCCATTAAATTTTTTCCGTGACTAGAAAATTGGCTTGATTACGATAAAAAACCGGAGTTTTCAACCCAAACGAAGCCACCAACCATTGAACGAAAATTTCGAGATCCGCCCACCGAAAAAAAAGAAACATTTTCTGGTCGATCCAAACTTTACATAATCTCGATTTATTTCGCAACAAAAACAGTTTTTGGTCAGGGTCCAAGGGTATAAATGGGAAGTTTTTCAGGTTCATCCCATTCTCGCTGATTCCGACGCCCATCCAGGACCTGGTCTACAAGGTCGCCGCCCTCAGGCTTCCGAAACCCGCCGCTTGTAGATAGATTTTGTAGCGATTCTCACTAGTTTTTACATCGTTTTGAGTGATTTTTCGAATAAAATCCATGCTTTTTTCACACTAAAAAGAAGGAAAAAGCAGAAAAAAAAAGGTAAAGTACCTTCGAAAAGTGTAACTTCAAACAAGGTAAGTTATATAGACGCGCCCGACTTGAAACGGCTTTTTTTTTGAGGGTTCCATAGCTCGTTGCATGTAGATGAATTGGACAGAGATCCTTACTATTCTTTACATAGTTTTGAAAGATTTTTCGAATAAAATCCATGCTTTTTTTACACTAAAATAAAGGAAAAAAAGAAAAAAAGATGGTGATGTACCTCCAAAATGAATAATTTTCCAAGAATTTTGACTTAGGTTCATGTTTTCACTTTTAATTTTGGTTTGTAAGAATCTGAATTTACTCAATTAGCTCTAATGGATTGATCCGTAAGGCGCGCCCGACTTGAAACGGCTTGCGACTTTTAGGCCTCCGCTTGTAGATAAACTGTACAGCGATTCTTACTAGTCTTTACATCGTTTTGAGAGACTTTTCGAATAAAATCCACGATTTTTCACATAAAAACGAAGAAAAAAGAGAAAAAAAGATGGTAAAGTCCGAAAAATGTAACTTCAAACAAGGTAAGTCATGTAGGCGCGCCCGACTTGAAACGGCTTGCGTTTTTGAGGATTCCATAGCCCGTTGCATGTAGATAGATTGTATAGCGATTCTTACTAGTTTTCATCCCATTTCGAGACATTTTTATAATAAAATTCATGCGTTTTCACATCAAATGGAGAAAAAAGAGTAAAAAAAGGTGATCTCCAAAACAGATGAACTTTTCGTGAATTTTCTAGTTTTTTGATTCATTTTTTCCTTGCGCAAATCCACTTTCCGTCGATCTGTTCTAAATAACAACTTGGAAAGGAGCCAGCAGGCGCGCCCGACTTGAAACGGTTTGCGATTTTGAGGCTTTTATCTTCTTTTTTAATATTTTTCGGTTTTCTCCCACTTTTTCAACTCGATTAGCTTCGCAAAAAAATGGCCCTAAAGTCGCACCCGACTTAAAACGACTTTCGCGTAAAGCTTTCTTGTACTCTTTAGTAAAATGATGAAATTCATGTCGGCTCGCTTAGAAAATTCTGGCGTTGAAGACTTGAAGACGCAGATTTTTTTTTAAAACATGAAAAGTCCAGAAGCTTTTTTCCTCATTAGTTTTCGAGGAATTTTTAACAAAGTTTGGGTTCGATTCGATCCGCAACGCGACCAGAGCCATTCCAAATGTGACCAAGGAGTTTCAGATTTTTGAAAAACTATAACTTTATTTAGAATAAATTAGCTTTCAAGGTCCAGATATGAATTATTTAATGGACCCTTGATTTTTCAAAACTCAGAAATTTTTCTAATAATACTGTGTAGTGTGGCGTTTTTGATCTACATTTTGCCGTCTTTCAGGATTTATTTTCCAAAATAGTCTCTGATTTTGGAAAGAGCAAACTAATAAAGTTTCTCTCTGACCCAGGCGCCATTTTTTCCAAGTTTGTTTGATCTTGGAACAACTCTTCTGTTTACTGTTCGGCAGGTTTCTTCGCCGTCGAAATCCTAGAACTTTTCGGTTTTTACCCCTCTTTTAACTTTATTATAGGATTTCAGCGTCTCGCCTTTGAGAAGTTTGAGATTTTTCAAATAATCATAGATTTTGGAAGAAGATAGGACATAGACACGGTCGGAAAGGGTGGAAAAAGGCTCATTTTTTGCTGCCTTTTTGCGCCATTTCATTGGCTATTATGAACCATTTTTGGTGCCTCTCCCTTTTCCCACCATTTTCTTGAGCCTTCGAAATCTTAGGAAAAATTGAAGGCTCGATAATGGGACCCTTTTTGTTGCCTTTTTGCGGCCTTTTTTGAGCCTTTTTGATGCCTTTTTGCTACATTTTTGCTGCCTTTCTAACGCTTTTTGAGCCTTCTTGCTGCCGTTTTGCGGCCTTTCTTGAGCTTCTCCCTTTTAGCGGCCATTATCCACCATTCCGACGTTGCCCGAGGATGGCTTTTGTCTTTGATTATTTTCTCACAAATCAAAAAAAGAACTTGTCCTTTCAAGATTCCTGTGGCCTTTTTGAACAGGAAGGACGACAAAAGCGGCAATTTCTATTATTTTCCAATCTTCTTTCACTTTTTCTATATTACCTATAGATATACTACCATTTCAGGAATATATTCAGATGCTTGGGTACCTCGGAATCTTGGCCATTTTCTCCCAAGTCCCAAGCGCATTTTCTCAACCCCCGGTCCGGTTAAATCTGCCCCAAGGCGAAATTGTCGGCTTCCACGTGGATTACGGTAGCGACACGAGCCAATTATATTACGGTCAAGGCGACGTTTTCCTCGGAATACCGTATGTCCAGCCGCCGGTAGGAAATCTGAGGTTCCAGGTTCGTTGGGTGGATTTGAATGAGAATAGGTTCAGATTTCAGAAACCAAGGCCTTTGGAGAAATTCCCGGGGAACTCACCTTACAATGCTACTTATTACAGGTAATTCGGGGATTTTTCTTAATTCCTCATTAGAAATTTCAGGCCAGCATGCCCCCAGTTCGACAATTTTGGAGCTCTGAACATTTCTGAAGATTGCCTCCAGCTGAACGTCTTCACGCCGTCGGTCAACAGCTTGTTCGGATATCCGGTCATGGTTTGGATCCATGGCGGGGGGTTCGTGTCGGGTTATGCCGAGTCGAATTATTATAAGGTTCCGACAAAATAAATAAGCTGGAATTTTGAGATTTCAGGGAGCGATTCGGAACCTTGTATCCCATGGGGTGGTCATTGTGACGATCCAATATCGACTAGGATTATTGGGATTTTTCACGACCCATTCCCCGGAATTTCCTCCAAACTTGGGACTTCTTGACCAGGTTGGAACTAAGGCCCAAGTTAGATCAAAGACGGCCTGAAGAGATGGCAGACAGAGAAAGAAAGTCGGGTTTCTCTGGTGTCTCTTCTAATCTAAGCCACTCTCAGCTTTAGCTTCTTTAAGAAGATTTTGAAGATAACAATCTTCAGGATGGGATATGAAAAAAATCATAGGATTAAAGTGAGCGAGAGATCAGATGACTTGAAGAGACGTTAGAGAAAGAGAGTGTCTTTTTCTCTGGCGTCTCTTCATGTCGCTGTTGATCTTTAACTTGTAAGTTTTCAGGTGGAAGCTCTGCGTTGGGTGAAAAACAATATAGCCCATTTTGGCGGGAATCCGAACCAAGTGACCATTTTTGGACAAAGTGCCGGTTCCTGTTCCGTTTCGGCCCATACTTATTCGCCTTTGAGCCGGAGTTGGTCTTTTTTTCGGTTTCTAGAAAAATTGTCTTGTAAATCATGATTTTTTGAAGCTTTTTGGCTCAAATTTTGCCTCGAAAACTCCAATTTCCCTCGGAAAAATGGGATTTTCCAGGCCTTGCTATTTATTTTTCCTTCAAGCCTTAATTAGGTCAATTTCTACGAAAAATTAGCCTTACTCCAAAAAATTCAAAATTTTCAGAACTTTTTTCAAAGTTTTGTTATTCACGTTCCAATCAAGCTTTTCAGCTTATGAATTTCCTGAAAACCTTGACCACTGCCAAAGTCTGAAAAGCTGAAAACGGGTTCATAAAGGGTGCAAAAAAGGGTGCAAAAAGGGGGCAAAAAGGGTCCATAAAGGGTGCAAAATGGCCGCTAAAAGGGTTCCGTTGTACGGCCTTTATTGAGCCTTTCTTGGTGGGTAAAAAAAGGGTGCGAGAAGGGTGCTGAAAGTCTCGGCCATTGATTATTTCCGATTTCATTACTGTAGAACATTTTGGTTCATACACAGTCACTGGTATTTCTCTAAAAAATTTTCTCAAAAGGGTCCAAAAAGGGTTCAAAAAAGGTTCAAAAAGGGTCTGAAAAGGGTTCAAAAAGGGTCCAAAATGGGTGGATAAAGGTCGATGAAAGGACGGAAAACGGCAGTAAAAAAGGAAACCGTTGTCACCCGTTTAGGAACAGTTAGTGGAAACCTTGAGATCCATAACAGACCCTCGAAGGGCCCCTAAAGGATCCTTCCGACTGTGCCAATAAAAATCGCGATTTTCAGACCTCTTCCACGCCGCAATCATGGAATCCGCCACGGCTTTGACTTGTTTCGAAGGCGCCTTATCCTTCTCGAATCACTCTTATCGGAGAGCCCAAGCTGTAAGACTCCGAAAATAGCATCTTCATGATAAAATCGTTCAGTTGTGCAATACAACTGCGGATGATTGGACGAGAAATCGATTCGGGCCCCTGAAAGCGTGTCTGATGGGAATGGACTTTCGAAAATGGACCCCGTTGGATTTGGTGATTATTTTCAGGGCGTTTCGAAAAATGAAGGGGGCGGGGCCGCCATTCCCATGTGACGTCATGGGAAAAAAGCGAAAACAACAGGGAATATTAAAGGCGCATGTTCAATGGGTCATGTGACGAATCGCTTTCTCATTCTATAAAAACGCAATTTTTCGCTTCCTGTGTTCAAAATGACTACGCGAGCAGCCGCCATAAAGTGAAAAATACAACTGAATTTCAGAAATTCAGAGATGATTTTGAATTTCGCGATAATTAATTTGAACACGGTCTGTGCCAGAGCGCCGCAGTGCATGCACACTACACACCACACTTTACGCAAAAAGTGTAGATAGCGCTCCGTAAAAAAGCCGTTTTTGTAAAATTGCATGAATATTCTTGAAGTTTTTTAATGGGATGATTATAACATGAAACACTTTGAAAGCGGTGTTTATCTTTGAAATTTGCTTAAAAATCTGCTGATTCAATATTAAATACATACTGCGTTCGAGGGTTTTGCTTAGGAACGCAAGGATGGTCCCTAGAGGGTTTAGGGGAAAAGCTTCTATAGAGGACTAAATAGGGCTCCCTAGAGGGATAAAAATTGAAGAGGTCCCTATAGAAGTTTAGTATCTGATTCGTAAGCCCCTAAAGCTTAAGTGATCCCTAGAGGCGTTTTCTAGAATGGCTTCTTCTCAGAGAGTCACCTCTAGAGTGGCCACTTTTGGAAGCTGTAGTGCCCCTATAAGGGTGCCTTCAAGCACTCCTAAAGTTGCCCCTCCAGGGATCCCTAAGCAATCGCTTGGGCTATAAAAATATACTGTAAAAACGATTGAACCTCTTTTTTTCACATTTTTTTTGATGTCAGGACCTTTTTCAATCCTTCTTCAATTTCCCTTTTTACCAGGGCGTCCAAGAGATTTACGGTTGGAAAATGTCCCAGGACAGCAATTTCATGCCCGGAGTTCCTTTGGACCTGGCCAGAGACCGCAAAAATATCCCCATTATGATTGGAAACGTCGCCAATGAATACACTATTTTTGGTTTGTTTTGCACCTTTTTTTAAAAATATGATCTGGTTGATTTTATAGATATCATCTTGATATCGTCAGGCCAAGCGACTTTACAAAATTACACTCGGCAGAGTTTTGAAAATGTCCTGAAAAATTTCGCCTCGGCCATGGGAGAACACCTTCCCGACGTGACGTGAGCGTAATCTGGAGCTTCGTAAATTGGAATTTTTCCAGGAAGATTGTGGAAAAAGCCTATGTGCCCCCTGGAACAACGGATGATGACCACGACGCTTGGGTTGAGATCAATGATAGAGTAATTTTTTTTTCTCGGAAATTTGCTGTTTTCCAAATATTTGCCCTGGGTTAGGAGATTTTTGAAAAAAGGTTTGATTCGAAAATTACAGGCAGAAGCTTTGAAAACTAAACTGTAATGGAAGTGTAAAAATGAGTGAGTTTTGACAGTTTGAAAAAAAAAAGAGGAAAAAAAAAATGAAAATTCGAGTTAAGGGGATAAATCCAGGCAGTATGAAGTAGTTAAAATGAAAAAAATAAAAATATTCAAGTTCAAAAAAATTGGTAGCCGTTGGAAATTTTTTTAATAATATATTATCGGTTTTTTTGGATTTTTTTAGGGTACAGAAAAAAATTGATGCTCTTTTTATACTGATTTGAATAAAAAAATCGTAATTTTTTTTGTTAAATATTGAGTTTTCCAGCTTAGAAAGAAGATAGTTGCAGGTGTATTTTTTTCGAACTTTTTCTTCAATTTTTCGAAGATGTGAAGATTCCTCTGAAAAAAACGTTCCAATTTCATTTTCTGGTTTTTTTGAGATATAATGATTTTTTTGAGAGGCACAAAATAACCCAAAAAAACGGCATTTTTTTCTAAAAAAAGGAAAAAAATTTTGGTTCTTGTACAAAAATTTGATCTGAAAAAAATTTTAAAAAAATTAAAAAAAGTTTTGAGCGAGTCCATGCAGTTTCTCGGAGATACTGGAATCTGAAAAAAATTGTATTTTTTTATTTCGAGTTTCCAGGCCTTCACTGGAGGCGGCTTTACCGGTTTCACGGCCCGAGAAGTCGATTGGTGGCTGGCCGGGGGAAATCAACAAGTATACCTTTATGAATTCGCCGACGCCAAAGATACCGCCCCAGTCGTTGGAGCTCCTCAAATCCCCGGGTGGAAACGTAAAAAACTACAAAAACTTCTTTCAAAGTCATTTTTCGACTTCCAGCCGTCCCCCACACGTCCGAAGTCTACTACATTTGGATGAACGGCGATATTTGGACCAATAAAACGAGACAAGATTTGACAAGTTCACAAGTTGGGCTCTTGGACTGGATGGGCGAGACTTGGACCAATTTCGCCAAGTTTGGGTGAGATTGGAGGGGCTTTTTGAAGGAAGGAATTTTCTCGAAGAATACCGAGATTGGACGGTTTTTGGCGACCGGTTCCCTCCAGGGACCAACTCGACTATTTATTGATCGGCAATGGAACTCTGGACATGAAACCCAATTTCCGGCATACTGATGTCACTATTTATGATAAGGTGATGCGGGGTGAATCGATGATTTTCTGGGAAATACGCTACTGTTGGGTAGAGGTGAGGGATGAAGGTGCTTAGAAGAGACGCCAGAGAAAAAGAGATCTCTTGCCTGTCTGGCGTCTCTTCAAGCCGAGCTGTTCTCTCCTTCACACCCAAAAAATCTTTATTCAGATCAAGTTGAACATTGAAGCACATTAAATAAAGAAAGAATAGGTCAGAGAACAGGGAGGTATGAAGAGACGCCAGAGAAGGAGAGACTTTCTGTGTGTCTGGCGTCTCTTCTGGCCAAACTGCTCTCGCCTTTACCCTCAGAAAAGCTTTTAGAGAGCAGTTAGAACATTAAAGAACAATTAATAAAAAAAAAGAAGAGGTGAGAGAACAGGGAGCCGTGAAGAGACGCCAGAGAAAGAGAGGTTTTCTGTCTGTCTGACACCTCTTCAGGCTGAGCTGTTCTCTCCTTTACACTCAAAAAAGGTTCATTCAGAACAATTTGAACAGGCAAAAATGTGACACTTAGAAAAGCAGAGGTGAGAGAACAGAGTCATTAGAAGAGACTCCAGAGAAAGAGAGGTTTTCTGCCTGCCTGGCGTCTCTTCACATCGCCGTTCTTCTCTCGCTTTTTGGAGCTTTTTCTCAGCCTTTTTTCCGTTTGTAGCTGTATGATTGTAGCAAAAGCTGAATAAACTCTAAATGTGAACTTTTCAGGTGATCCCAGCGATCGTTGGCGATTTGCCAGTGAGACTACCTGATTATAACAACGGAACTTACCCGCCACCTTACTCTTTTGTATAACTTTTTATCGAGAAATTATTATTAATGATTTTTTGAGCTTCTCATGATGTTATATTGATCCCAAAAAATTTTCAAAAAAAATATTTTATTGTTTTTTTCCGAGCTTTCATTCTAACTTTTCGAATTTTCGAAATTTTTCGATTTTTTGTGGAATTTGAACTAACCCGTCCTCAAGAATGACAATAAAGAATCGGATATTGCAAGTTTTAGAACAGAAAAATCTTGTACCCGACCGAAAACGACTTTCGCCTCGAGGTTCTCTTGTACACGACCTTTTGCCTCGAGGTAATGTCCATTCCAAGTGCGACCATTTCAAGCTGAAACAAGCGAAGAAAGTGTTCGCATTATAAAGAAAAAAGTCGAGAACTTCAATTTCTGTGATTTGTTCTCTGTTTGACCTTGGAGCAACTGTGTTGTTTACTTTTTCCCGCCGAGTGAGATCATTTTTAGTCTCGGAACTCTTGTTTCTCTTCTTTTTCTCTTCGTTCTCAACTTGTCGTTTCATGACTTTCATGGGGTTTTCGACAAGAAAACGCCGGAAAGCTTGAAATTACTAGATTTTTCTTTCATAGTCGGAAGGACCCTTTGAGCGTCCTTTATGGATCAAAAGGTATCCATTAATTGTTCCTAAACGGATGGCAACGGTTTCCTTTTGACTGCCTTTTTCCGACCTTTCATCGGCCTTTTTCCACTCTTTTTGGACCCTTTTTGGACCCTTTTTGGGCCCTTTTTCGAACCTTTTTTGGACCTTTTTGGACCCTTTTTGGATCCTTTTTGAACCCTTTTTAGACCATTTTTGGACCCTTTGTGAACGCTTTTTAGACCCTTTTTTTGGACCCTTTTTGAGAACCACAAAAATTTTTTTAAATTGAGAAAAAAATTTTTTTATGTGACTGTGTATGAACCAAAATGTGCTACAGTAATAAAATCGGGAGCGGTCAATGGCCTAGACTTTCAGCACCCTTTTGGCAACCTTTTTGCACCCTTTTTTCGACCTGTTTGCAACCTTTTTTCACCCTTTTGTCTTCCTTTTTTCGTCCTTTTGGCAACCTTTTTTCACCCTTTTTTCACCCTGTCTGCACCTTTTTTGAGGCTTCTTAACCCACCAAGAAAAAAAGGCTCCATAAAGGCCGCAAAACGGAACCCTTTTAGCGCCCATTTTGCACCCGCTTTCCTCACTTCCGACAGTGTTTTTTTCTAACTTCACCTTAAATTTTAGGGGCGTTTTTTTTTTGTCAGAATGCTTAAAAGTCCATATTTCTGCCCGTTTTCTCTTTTTTTTTTAAGCCATCTTTTTCAAAAATTGAACGTCTTTCCGCCATTCCCGTTGTCTTTTCGACCAGGAAATGACTTCAAAAGCCTGTTCTTTTTTTATTTTTCCAATCTTCCTCCGGTTTTTCTATTTACCTATGGATATACTACCATTTCAGGAATATATTCAGATGCTTGGGCACCTCGGAATCTTGGCCATTTTCTCCCAAGTCCCAACCGCATTCTCTCAACCCTCGGTCCGATTAAATCTGCCCCAAGGCGAAATTGTCGGCTTCCACGTGGATTACGGTAGCGACACGAGCCAATTATATTACGGTCAAGGCGACGTTTTCCTCGGGATACCGTATGTCCAGCCGCCGGTCGGGAATCTGAGGTTCCAGGTTCGTTGGGTGGATTCGAATGAGAATAGGTTCAGATTTCAGAAACCAAGGCCTTTGGAGAAATTCCCGGGGAACTCACCTTACAATGCTACTTATTACAGGTGTTTCTGGACTTTTCTTAATTTTTCATCAGAATTTTCAGACCTGCTTGCCCCCAATCGCAAATCCTGGGAGCTTTGGAAGTTTCGGAGGACTGTCTCCAGTTGAACGTCTTCACGCCGTCGGTCAACACCAGGTCGAGTTATCCGGTGATGGTGTGGATCCATGGCGGCTCTCTAGTCTTCGGCAACGCATCCTGGACTCATTATTCAGTTTTTCAGAGGATTACTAATCGATAAATGATTGATTTAAGGGAGCGATTCGGAACCTTGTGTCCCATGGGGTTGTCGTCGTGACGATCCAATATCGACTGGGGGTTTTGGGATTTTTCACGACCCATTCGCCGGATTTTCCTCCCAATTTGGGCATGCTTGACCAGGTTTTTATGATTAAATGTGTGAGAACACAAAAAAAAGGCTTTGATTTTATCAAATCAAAGAACTTAGGATTTCCCTCTAGTGGTCCCTATAGGGGTTAGAAGTGAAAAGGGGCCTAATAAGTGGTCCCTTTAAGGGTAATTCTGAAGATCACCCTATGGGAATTCAAAGTCTGACCCCTCACCCCCCTCCCCCTCTTTTAAGCTCAATTGGACCCTATAGGGGCCTAATAAATGGTCTCTTTAAAGGCATAGGGGCAGTAAAAAACGGTGTTTCAGTTCAAAGCAGTATTTTGTAGAGCTTTTCATTGCGAATCGAACGGTAAACTTGGGAACGTACCGAACTTCCTAGTTTTGAAGAAAAAATAATTCAAAATCGGAGGGAGGAAAGTTTGAGTTCCCGCGGAAAGGGCGCTTTGCAGTAAAGTTGCTCTATGGACAACAGGCTTCGCCACTTTTCGCATTTTCGCTTTTTTCTTGGTTTCTTTCAAAATTAATTTTTTTCTGTTGTCACCAAAGTTCTTTTCGTCACAAAAGCTTTTTATTCATGTATAATTTGCAAACTTTGATCGCAAAAATGCTTCTTTGGTGAAAAATGATGATTTCACGCAGGTTCCTATGGGGATAGCGATATTTTGTGTTTTTTTTTTATCGGTGTGTGTTTTTTGTTTTCTTGATCGATTTTTCAGAGAAAAAATCCTTGATTTGAAGCAGATATCCAGTTATTTCTCACAAAAAGCGAGTCTAATGAGACGTCCGCAACATCGCGTGCACGGCTACTGTAAACATTTGTCCGTAGGCCGATCCAAAGCTTTTTTCAAAATTAAAGGCGGGAAAGTAAAATCGCGTCTTTCTTCTAAAGCTGTCACATCTGTAATTTCTTTGAGTACACCATTCGATTCGCAAAGAAAAACTGTATAAGATACTGCTTTCACCTGAAACCCCATTTTTTACTGCCCCTATGCCTTTAAGGGTTACTCGCAAGTTCACCCTACAGGAATTCAGGGTCTGAAAAAAGCTTATTTGTTCATTTTCCCACAGGAATACTTCTTCGCTGCGAGTTCATGACAATTATTGACTAAAATGTTCTCTAAAGGGGCCACTAACCTTAACCCCTTTAGGGACCGCTTTCTTAAACTTTAGTGGCTTTAACTTTAAACTTTAGTATTCCGAAATATCAAAAAAATTACACCAAGATGCGGATATTTATGATAATTGGAAAAAAGTAAAGCAAAGTTCTCACTTTTTTTGGAATTAAAATATTATCTTTCGGGCACACTTTCCGTTACTTTATTGCACGTTTTTGCTGATTTTTTGTGGTTTTCTAGAGGGAAAAGGTCATTTTCAGGGATATTGATATGTAGAGATATTATGGAAGACCACAAAATAATTCAAAAAAATTAAATTTATAAAAAAAGTTCGAAATTCTTATCGTGAAAGTTGTTTCAGAATTTTCCGAACAAACTGTTCCATTTTGAAAAATTATAGGGATCTAGAATTATTATAGAGATAGCGAAAAGTTTGTAGATAAAAAAATTTGAGCCCCCAAAAGAAAAAGCGAGAGATCATGTGGCTTGAAAAGACGTTAGAGAAAGAGATTGTCTTTTTCTCTGGCGTCTCTTCATGTTTTCGTTGATTTTTCTCTTATAAACTACGTTTTCTTTTCAGGTTTAACGTTGAAAAAACATTTTCAACAAATGCTTTTTTCCAGGTAGAAGCTCTGCGTTGGGTGAAAAGTAATATAGCCCATTTTGGCGGGAATCCGAACCAAGTGACCATTTTTGGACAAAGTGCCGGTTCCTGTTCCGTTTCGGCCCATACTTACTCGCCTTTGAGTCGGAGTTGGTCTTTTTTTTCGACTTCTAGAAAAATTGTTCCGTTATTCATGATTTTATGAAGCTTCTCGGCTTGAAATTCGTCTCAAAACTCCAAATTAAACGGAAATTTTTAGGTCTTTTCGAATTTTTCCTAATGCATTCTTCATTCAAGGCTCTCAGCCCAAAATTTGCTCTGAATCATAAATTTTATTATGAAAATTGTAGAAGAGCTGTTTTTTATGCTTTCATGGAGTTTTTTGGCTCAAAAAACCGCCTTAAAAATTATTTTTATATCCAACTTTTTTTTTTTCGATTTACCGTTCCTAGGGCTTCTATCAAGCTTCTCAGTTCATAATCCACCCCCAAACTTGAATTTTTCCAGACCTTTTCCAAGCGGCAATCATGGAATCCGGCACGGCGTTGACTTGTTTCGAAGGCGCTTTATCTGATTCTAATCAGTCTTTTCGAAGAGCTCAAGCTGTGAGGAATTTGAATATTATCCTGAAAAGAAGGATAATTCTAGTTCTGCAATACGACACTGGAAGATTGGAATAACGCCAATTTCGGGCCATTGAAAGCGTGTTTGATGGCGATGGACCACCGGATGATGAGTCTCTTGGATTTGGTAAATTTCAATCATTTTTAAAAAAACGGGTACTTTCACGAAGGCTTGATAAGTGAGATATCAGCTCCATTTTTAATATTTATTTAGCCGCTTAACTTTCAAATATTCTAAAAATATGTTGGGTTTGAAAATTTGAACAATAATCGATCTACAGATTTGGAACGTCTTGGGAATTTACACCTTGAAGTAGAATGGAAAACATTTGTTTTTTGCTTTGAAACGCCTCGTCATCCGTTTTTTAAGGGCTCAAATTTATAACCCAGGCTAAAACTTGGAAAAAATGATAGAGAAAAAAGGAAGCGATCAATTTATCTCATCACTTATCACATTACGGGAAACGCAAAAATTCAAAAAATAAAAATAATGAAAATAGTCCGTTCGCCGAGACTTGACAGTTTTCACGTATCTGTGTCTCTCTGTTCCCTCACCGGCAAGGTCAGAGAAACATGAAAACAGCACGTAAACATGAGAGAGACGTCGAGAGATAAGGAGGGCGCAGAGAAGTCCCGCCCTTTCAATTCGCGATAAACGGACTATAAATCGGTAGTTTTTGAACACCCCAAAAGCTTGGTTTTAACAATTTTTTTCCCGGAAAGTAAATTTTTCGCGCCGTCTTTAGTATACCGTTAGAATCACACGGTAAACCTCGTCCACAGTATGTTTGGTTCACGACTTGTTTGAGCCACCGAAAAAAAGGGTCCTGACACGATTAGAAAAGAGACAGTGCCTGGTTGGTGTAGAGCACAGACAGGCCACGCCCCTTAGAGTTCCAAGCTAGTCGTGAATTTACTACATCTTCTCAAAAGAAAATGCGACGCCACGCCCACTTTTTCTCCGTAAAGTGTCGTGTGTCGTGTGCATGCACTGCGCCGCTTTCGCGCAGAAATGCGTTTTTCGATTCGTCTCAAAGACCTTTGGCAATACGGCGGCCTGCGCCTTTAATATGACGTGTTAGAGCCGAAATCTCATCCCATGACGTCACGTGGGAAGGGCGGATTTTTGGGCTCCGCCCACCGTTTTTTTGGTTTCGCACGTACAAAAACGCCGTTTGTTTCACACCTAATTCTTCTCTCGATTTCCAGGGTTTCCAAGAACTCGGCTGGAAAATGGTCCAAGACGATTATTTCATGCCCGGCGTTCCGTTGGACCTGGCCAGGGACCGCAAAAATATCCCCATCATGATTGGGAACGTCGCCAATGAGTACAGTTCTTTTGGTAAGAGATTTACAAAAAATCAATCAAAAATAGTTTTTTAGACCTCACGTTTTTGGCCCAAGGTATTACAACTATTGAAAATTACACTCGTCAGCATTTTGAAGAAATCGTACAGGGTTTCACGTCACTCGGAAGCCGTTTACCGGAAGTGACGTGGGTGGAACTTGGAGCGTCGTAGCATTAAATCCAACTTTGCAGGAAGATTTTGGAGAAAGCCTATGTGCCCCCTGGAACAACGGATGATGATCATTACGCTTGGATTCAGATCAATGATAAGGTGAGAAGTGTTCGAGAGGTTTGAAGAGACGCCAGAGAAAGAGAGGATCTCTGACCGTCTGGCGTCTCTTCAAGCCGCTTTTCTCTCACAGTTTTGTAGTAGTTTGAACGGGTAAAAGGCGAGAGATCAACTTTCCCTGAAGAGAGCCCAGAGAAAGAGAGGTTATCTGCTTGTCTGCGTCTCCTCAAGCCGCTTTTCTCTCACTTGATGCTTTCTCTCACAGTTTCGTAGTAGTTTGAACAGGTAAAAAGCGAGAGATCAACTTTCCCTGAAGAGACGCCAGAGAAAGAGAGAATCTCTGCGTGTCTGGCGTCTCTTCAAGCCCTTTTTCTCTCACTTGATGCAAAAAAGGGGATCTGAAGATATTTTCAATGCCAGAACGGTAGATTATCCAAGGCGAGAGATCAACTTTCCCTGAAGAGACGCCAGAGAAAAAGAAGATTTTGGTCTGTCTGGCGTCTCTTCAGGGCGCTGTTGTTCCCTCGCTTCAGCCCAGATTTCCAGTTTTCTTTGTAGGTTTTTGTTTTAACTCGAAGAAAAAAGGAATTTCAGGTCATGACCGGAGCCGCTTTCACCGGTTTCACAGTGAGAGAAGCCGATTGGTGGTTGGCCGGAGGGAATAATCAAGTCTATCTTTACGAGTTTGCCGATTCTGCGGATACTGAACCGGTTTCTGGAGCTCCTGAGATTCCTGGATGGAAACGTGGGATTTTAGAAGAAGCTCTGAGGGGCCCTAGGAAAATTTTTGAAAATTTAAAAGTCAGGGATTTTTTTCAAAGCTTGCCAGATGTACGGGGAGAAGTTTCTGAAAATCTCGACTTTCAAAATTTTGCTTAGACGAGCTCAAGTGGTCCCTAAAGTAGTTTATCATTTTCAGCTGTACCCCACACGGCCGAAGTCTACTACATTTGGATGAACGGAGATATTTGGAAAAATCAAGCAAATTTGAAAAATTCACAAGTTGGGCTTCTGGAATGGATGGGCGAAACTTGGACCAATTTCGCCAAGTTTGGGTGAGATTTTAGGGATTTTTTGAAGGAAGGAATTTTCTTGAAGAATACCGAGATTGGACGGTTTTTGGCGCCCGGTTCCCTCCAGGGACCAACTCGACTATTTATTGATCGGCAATGGAACTTTGGACATGAAAACCAATTTCAGGCATACCGATGCGATCATTTTTGATAAGGTACTGTTTTATTGGAATTTCCGGGAATTTTTGAGAAGCATTTTTCGTGAGGCGAGAGAGTAGCGGGGATGGAGAAACAGCAGAGAAAAATAGATTCTCTGCTCTTCTGATCTCTCTTCAGACTTCCGTCGTTTTCCCTATCTCTAGCTGTTAGAGAGTCGGTCTTGAAAAGTTGACCCTCTAAAGAGCTCTAGCGAGAGAACAAGACGATCAGAAGAGAGCCCAGAGAAAGATACATTTTCTGCTCGTCTGAAGTCTCTTCAGATTTTTGTTGTTCTCTCTCTCTAGCTGTCAGGAAGTCGATTTGACGAGACTCTGAAAAGCAGTATCGAGAGAACAAGGCTTTCAGAAGAGACGCCAGAGAAAGATACATTTTCTGCTTGTCTGGCGTCTCTTCAGACTTCCGTTGTTCTCTTTATCTCTAGCTCTTAGAGAATCGATTAGACGAGACTCTGAAAAGCAGTAGCGAGAGAACAAGGTTTTAGGAGAGACCCCAGAGAAAGATAGATTTTCTGCCCGTCTGACGTATCTTCAGGATGCCACTGTTCTCTCGCCTCTCGTCTCACTTTATCGGGAAAAATTGACCTTTACAGGTGATTCCAGCGCTTGTTGGCGATCTGCCAGTGAGGATGGTCGATTTTAACAATGGGACTTTTGAGTTTTTTTAATTTCCTGTTTAATTTGTACATACATCCCTTTAATTTTCTCTAATAGCACCCATTTGTTATCGGAAAAACGCCTTTCTTGCTTCATTTTCAACTGTTTTTCTCTATTTTCATGTCTAATATTGATTTTTAGTGACTAATAGGTAGCCTTAACTATAAACTACGTAATATTAACAAACGTCTCTTAAAAATATTTGGCCTTTTTCAAAATTTGTTTGCCCTTGGAGCAGCTTTTTCCCGTCATTTTTGCGGCCTCTCGGAACGTCTAGCAGTTTAGTTTTTTTGTACTCAATTTGCACTCGAAAGATCGTCCCTTTCCCTTGAACTTTGTACATTTTTTTGAATGAACTATTTTTTTGAATATGATTTTTTTTAAATGTCAATGGTTCATGCCTCATTAATTATTTTATTTTTTTCAATTTTTTTCAGGGCTTTTTGGTGACTTGGTCGCATTTGGAATGGCTATGCGGTTAAAATGAAACATTGCGGAAGTCGTTTTGGGGTCTGGCGCAGTTTCTGTGAAGCCTCGAGCCATTCCAAGTGCGACCAGAGTTTTTTTTCCTTTTTCGTTGATTTTTTTTTATTTGAAAACTTATCGAATTCTGTTTTTCTTTGTCGTGTTTCGGGGGGAATATTTTTTTAAAGGTTCATTTTTTGATTTATTGGAAGTTCGCAGCAGTAAAGTCAGATTAAATAAACTTTTCGGGAAACCTGAAATTTTTGATAACCGTGCCCCAGTTGCACTATGGCTCCACGCACTTTTTTTGTCGTTTTTTTCCTAAATTTGTTTAGAATCAATATTTGGTGACTTACTGACAAAAAAAGCCGCACTTTCTATATTTTTCCAATCTTCTACCAGTTTTTCTGTTTTACCTTTTTATATACTACCATTTCAGGAATATATTCAGATGCTTGGGCACCTCGGAATCTTGGCCATTTTCTTCCGAGTCCCAACCGCATTCTCCCAAGCACCGGTCCGATTAAATCTGCCCCAAGGCGAAATTGTCGGCTTCCACGTGGATTACGGTAGCGACACGAGCCAATTATATTACGGTCAAGGCGACGTTTTCCTCGGAATACCGTATGTCCAGCCGCCGGTTGGGATTCTGAGGTTCCAGGTTTGTTGGCTGGACTTTGAACGGGAATATGTTCAGATTTCAGAAACCAAGGCCTTTGGAGAAATTCCCGGGTAGCTCACCTTACAATGCTACTTATTACAGGTGTTTCAGAGGTTTTTCTAATTTTTTATAAGAATTTTAAGGCCAGCATGCCCTCAATCGGACTTCACTGGCAGTATGAAGATCTCTGAGGACTGCCTCCAGTTGAACGTCTTCACACCGTCGGTCAACACCAGACTGAGCTACCCAGTCATGGTTTGGATCCACGGCGGCGCCTTGTTATCGGGAAGCGCCGAGGAGTATAATTATAAGGTCTTGAAGCGATTTTCGAAGAAAATATACGATTTTTGACCTCAGGGAGCTGTTCGGAACCTTGTTTCCCGTGGAGTCGTAGTCGTAACGATCCAATATCGGCTAGGGATGTTGGGATTTTTCACGACCCATTCGCCGGATTTTTCTCCGAATTTGGGCATGCTTGACCAGGTCGGTTCTCTCGATCCTGGATTTGTGAAAAAAGGGGGGTTTTTTTCAAATGAAAGGTATAGAAGTCCCAAATATGGTAAAGAGGAACGAGAAAAAGCAATTGACGGCTTCAAAGGGAGAGATCAGATGATTTGAAGAGAAGTTAGAGAAAGAGGGAATTTCTGTTTCTCTGGCGTCTCTCCTGGAATTCAATCTCTAGCTCAGAAGAAATTTAGTAGCGAATATAGTCCGTTTTTCGCGACTTCTCTGCGCCCTCCTCGTCTCTCGACGTCTCTCTCATGTTTACGTGCTATTTCCATGTTTCTCTGACCTCGCCGGTGAGAGGACAGAGAGACGCAGACACGCGAAAAATGTCAAGTCGCGGCGAACGAACTATAGCTTTTTTTTAGATTTAAGATTCAAAAAAAAATTTCAAGAAATATTTTTTTCCAGGTAGAAGCTCTGCGTTGGGTGAAAAATAATATAGCCCATTTTGGCGGGAATCCGAACCAAGTGACCATTTTTGGACAAAGTGCCGGTTCCTGTTCCGTTTCGGCCCATACTTACTCGCCTTTGAGCCGGAGTTGGTCTTTTTTTCGGTTTTTAGGAAAGATTTTCCGTTATTCATGATTTTATCAAGCTCCTTGGATTGAAAGTTGCCTCAAAACTCCAAATTAATCGGAAATTTTAGGCCTTTCCGAATTTTTCCTAATGTATTCTTCATTCAAGGTTCTCAGCCCATAATTTGCTCTGAATCCTTAATTTTCTTATAAAAGTTGTAGAAGAGCCTTTTTTATGCTTTCATGGAGTTTCTTGGGTCAAAAAAGCGCCTCAAAAATTAAATTTTGAAACTTTGATTTTTTCCGATTTTCTTCTATCAAGCTTTTTACAAGAGAGGTAATTTAGCTTGGCGGTTGGGATTTATATGGAAATTGACCAGGATGCTCCATGATGTACCAGAAGAAGATTCTGAAAGTCTCAACCTGCACAACTTCCTAGTTTTTGAGAAAGGACGGCTCGAAATCCAATAAATAAGCCCTTTTCCGGGCTTTAGACCCTTATTTCTCGGGAACTAGGAAGTTTTGCAGGTTGAGACTTTCAGGGTCTTATTCTGGTACATTCAGGCCAATTTTCAAGAAATTCCCAACCAAAAAGTAAAATGACCTCCCTCTTTTCAGACCTTTTCCAAGCGGCAATCATGGAATCCGGCACGGTTCTGATTTGTTTCGAAGGCGCCTTATCTTTTTCGAGCCACTCTTATCGGAGAGCTCAGGCTGTTTGGAGCCTAAAAAATAATTTGAAATCGAAAAAAGTGTTCAGTTATGCGGCACAACGGCTCAAGATTGGACGACGAATCGATTCGAGCCCCTCAAAGCTTGTCTGATGGGAATGGACTACCGACAAATGGTGGCTTTGGACATGGTGAGTATTGTATAGTGCGATATATAGAACTTTTTAGTTACTAAACTATTTACTTTATACGAAAGTTAAAACAAAGACAAAAACTTTAAGGCCCGAGAAAGTGGTCCTGGGGGAGAATCAATGTGCTCTTTATAGGGGTGGTCCTGTTTTGGAGGGATCCCTAGAGAGGTTAGCGGGAAAAAGACCCCTATAAGGGCCGAAAAAATGGTCCCTACATGAGTTCAGAGTCTGACCCCTCAGTCCCTAAAGCTTTAGTGGTCCCTATAGGAATTTAACTCTAAGCTTTTTTTTTAGCAGCTCATCAAGTCTGAAAAATAGTCGATTTTCGTTTATTTTTTCGGATTGCAGTGTCAAATTTGGACTTTTCATTTGTATAATCATTGTCGGAAAACTATGAATCAGAAAATGATCTAACGAGACGAAAAGAAGCTTTTTGAACTTTCTTTGAGATTTTTTTCAGAAAAAGGCTCCAGAGAAATTTCCCTTCTAGGGTGACAAAGGATCCCTTTTTGCTAGAATGTTCAGAATGGCATATACATTTTTTTCAGGACATCCAAGAAAATATGGTTTGGAAAATGTCACAGGATAGCTATTTCATGCCCGGAGTTCCTTCGGACCTGGCCAGAGGTCGGCCAAATATCCCCATCATGATTGGAAACGTCGCCAATGAGTATAGCTTCAATGGTTTGGAAACACAAAACTTTTTTTCATTCGGGTTTGGATTTTTTCAGACCTTCTTCTGTTGAAATTACGGATCACCACCCTACAAAACTATACCCGGCAGCATTTCGAAGAACTGGCGCAGGGCTTCTCGGCGATGAGCAGTCATCTGCCGGAGATCATGTGAGCGGATTCTGGAGCTTCGTAACTTGAAAAATTCAGAAAAATTATGGAGAAGACTTATGTGCCCCCTGGAACAACGGATGACGATCATTCCGCTTGGATTCAAATCAATGATAAGGTGAGAAGTGTGCGAGAGGAATAAAGAGACGCCAGAGAAAGAGAGACTCTCTGACTGTCTGGAACCTCTTCAAGCCGCTTTACTGTCCCTTTATGAAAAAAAAAAAGTGATCTGAAGACGGTTTCGAAGCGCTATGAAAAAGCGAGAGATCCACATTTCCTGAAGAGGCGCCAGAGAAAGAGAGGCTCTCTGACTGTCTGGCGTCTCTTGGAGCCGTTTTTCTCTCACTTGAAGCAAAAAATGCGATCTGAAAACGGTTTCGAAGAACTTTGAGTAGAGAAAGCAAGAGATTAGGATTTTTCGAAGAGACGCCAGAGAAAGAGAGGTTCTCTGACTGTCTGGCGTCTCTTCAAGCCGCCGTTGTTCTCTCGCTTCAGCCTATTCTGGACCAGATTTTCAGTTTTTTTATAGGCGAGTAAAGATTTGAAGTTCAAAAATGAAGCAGCACCCGCAATTTTGTTTTCTGAATAGTTTTTTGGCTTTTTTTTTCCAAAAATAATGAGGAATTTTTTTTAGCGTTATGGGATTTTGATACGGGGGACTGAAAACTTTAAAAAATCATAAATCCTTCATCCAATCATAAGCCTACATCATAGAGAATTTATATTATTGTCTCTTGAAGGTTTTTAAGTACCCTAGAGGCATCACTTGGCGTATTTTATGAGTAGGGCGCACTTTTGAATGATTTTTCGGCGCCTATGTATGAAAATTATTGATTATTTTTGATTTTCTGAGATCTCAGGCCTTCTCCGGATTATCTTTCACCGGTTTCACGGCCCGAGAAGTCGATTGGTTGCTGGCCGGAGGGAATAATCAAGTCTATCTCTACGAATTTGCCGATTCTCAAGACGCCAGTGACACTCCCGCCACTTTTGGAGCCCCTGCAATCCCTGGATGGACGCGTAAAAACTCAAAAAACGCCTTTCAAGCTAATTTTTTTGAGTTTTAGCTGTACCCCACACGGCTGAAATCTCCTACATTTGGATGAACGGGGATATTTGGAAAAATCAAGCAAATTTGAAAAATTCCCAAGTTGAGCTTTTGGACTGGATGGGCGAAACTTGGACCAGTTTCGCCAAGTTTGGGTGAGATTGGAGGGATTTTTTGAAGGAAGGAATTTTCTTGAAGAATACCGAGATTGGACGGTTTTTGGCGTCCGGTTCCCTCCAGGGACCAACTCGACTATTTATTGATCGGCAATGGAACACTGGACATGAAACCCAATTTTCGACAAACTGACGATATTATCTTCAACAAGGTTTGTTGGTGCTACGGCAAGAGCCGGTTTTCCATATGCGGGGAGTACTGTATGCGCTTTGCGTGCATACACTTTGCGTGTTTACACTTTCGTTGCGTTACGTCACCGGATAGGACATCTCCGCTTTTTTTTTTTCGAATTTTTTCAATTTTTTCAAGATTCGCATTTTTCTCGAGGATATTTGCACGATGAAAAACAGTATCAAGAGAAAAAAAGTTCAAAAAAATTCGAAAAAAAACCCCGGGATGTCCTACCCGGTGACGTCACGCAACGAAAGTGTAAACACGCAAAGTGTATGCACACGATGCGCATATCCGCATACAGTACTCCTCGCAAATGGAAAAATCGCTCTTGTCGTAGTTTCTTGGATCTAAACCTGGGAACAGAAAAAATGGTAATATTCAGGTGATACCAGCAATTGTGGGTGATTTACCAGTGAGGCTACCGGATTTTAATAATGGAACTTTTCCGCCACCTTATTCTTTTGTTTGACATGAGATCTAACAAAATTTAGAAGAATTTACAAGTTTTACTAACAAAAAATGTTTTTTCGCAGTTGTTATAGTGTAGTTCATTCATAACAGTTTGAAAATGAAGGGGTCACTTGAGGGGTTTTTTTCCCTAGAGGTGTCACTTGAGGGGGATCTATGAGAAGTCTTTTTTCTCAGAAGGTTAAGCGGCTTCAAGAGTGATCCCTAGAGTTACCACTTCAAATGGGGAGTCATTCTGAAGAGAACTCTTAAGTGGACACTTTAGGGACTTCTTTTTCCAAGAAGCCTTTTGAAGACGTGTCACTTGAGGGCTTGCTTTGGAAGAGGCTCTGTTCCTTTTCTGGAAGTTAATTGGCCCCTAGAGTGATCCCTAGAGTGACCACTCCAATTTTGTTTCGGAATAGGTCACTCAATCGAAAAATCCTCAAGTGGACACTTTAGGGACCTCATTTTACCAAGAAAACTTTTGAAGACGTGTCACTTGAGGGATTACTTTGGAAGAGGCTCCGTGACTTTTTCGAAAAAGTTAAATGACCCCTAGAGGGTTTCCTAGAGTTACCACTTCAATCTAGCTTCCCAGTGAGTCATTTTAACTGAAAGTCCTCAAGTGGACACTTTAGGGACCTAAGTACCAAAGTGAGTCATTCTAATGGAAAATCATCGAGTGGTCTCTTTAGGGATTTTCCTAATAGTTTTATAAAATCACGAGGCTGAGAATGGACTACACATTTTGTTCTTTTCAAGAATGTTTATTGTTTTCCAATGTTTTTTTAAACAATACTAACCATTTTGTGTACAGTATTTTGAAAAAAATCATGCTGTTTTATTTTAAAAAAAAAGATGCGTTGGAAGAGATTAATGGAAGAAACAGAGACCGAGTTTTTGGCAAAAAAAAGAGATCGTTGTGGAATAAAAACCCGTGAAGACAGGGCTACATGATATGTCTATAGATCAGAAATAACTGGGATAGTTTATAAGACGGTAGTTTGAGTCGGGTGCCAGGACTTGCTGACAAAGTTGTTGGCCCAGGAGACGCCGGCCAAGCCGTTCAGGACCAATTCCCGGAATTCGGGGTTCAGAAACGCGTAGAGCAGCGGGTTCGTCACGCAGGAGAGCATGGCGAGACTGAAATATTGGTTTTTAGTTTTGTTCGCGGACATTTTAAAGTTCTTTATGACTTTTATCGGGGAAGGTCGTCGCTCAAATTTCAAGAGGCTCACAAGAAAGGTAGTTTTACTTTTTGGTTGGGATACCTTGAAAATTGGCCAGAATACTCATTGATGTACCAGATGAAGACCCTGAAAATCTCAACCTGCACAACTCCCTAGTTTTCGAGAACGGACGTTTCAAAGTTTGCACAGGGGATCACTGCGCTATGGTATCTGTTCACAAATGAGTGGAGAGGTTGCAGCGAGGCGAATGGCGCAACGGTTGTGTCTGGTTCGTTCCCCACCCTGTGAATAACATTTTGCAAAATCTTGCAATAATTTCTCAGTGGTCCGGGGTGCCATCAGGGTTGTTCGAAATGTGCTTTTTTCCATCTTTGAACTTGTATTCTGGCCAATTTTCAGGAAATTCCCAACTTCAAAGTAAAATGACCTTCCTTGTCAGGTTATAAGCAAAAAAAAACTTCGTTTGAATAACACCATCTGGAAAGGCTATGATATTCGAATTATTTTTGCTTGAGATTTTAAAAAAAAAAACGAATTTTTTTGCTCCTTGAAGCTCTGTACTAGAATAACGGCTTGAACTGAATTAAAATCTTCAAAAAGCTCACAAATGCGTTAGTAAGGAGACTATGTAGGTGTAGTCGGTTTTGTAGAAGGTCAGAAGGTCCCGACTGTCCGTGAATTCCATCAGAGTTGAGACGAAGTTGTGCGGCAGGGAGGTGATCCCTTAACATTGTTTAGTCTTGAAAGAGGCTTGGAAGGACTTTTTGTATGCTACAGTAATAAAATCGGTAATCATAGATGGCCGAGAGTTTCAGCAACCTTGTTGCAACCTTTTTGCACCCTTTTTTGAGCCTTTTTAGCCCAGCAAAAAAGAAAGGCTCAAAAAAGGTCGCAAGACAGAACCCTTTCAGCGGCCATTTTGCGCCCCTTTTGCACCCTTTTTCGAGCCTTTTTTGCCCACCAAGAAAGCAATGCCCAAAAAAGGCCGCAAAACGAAACCCTTTAACGTCCATTTTGCACCCTTTTTGCACCCCTTTTGCGGCTTTTCAGCTCACCAAGAAAGAAAGGCTCAATAAAGGCCGCAAAATGGAACCATTTTTGCACCCTTTTCACACCCTTTTTTGAGCCTTTTTAGCCCACCAAGAAAGAAAGGCTCAATAAAGGCCGCAAAACGGAACCCTTTCAGCGGCCATTTTGCACCTGTTTTCCGCAATTCCGACTTTGGCAGTGTTAAGGGAATGGTTGGACGCGTCGCGGTCGTATAGCGGTTAAAATTAGCTTTTTTTCCGGACTTTAAGGGCATCGGCTTTTTTTTTGAGTTCTAATTAGACACTTCATGTCAAGAAAGATCTTCGAAAGAGTGGATTATCCAAGTTTTTGGTCAGTTTCAAACCTACCAAAGATAAAGACCATTGAAACCAGGATCAGAGTGACGCGGCGCTTCTGAGCGACGACCCGCTTCTTCTGATCCAGAAGATGTGTCATCTGAAGTCAGAACGGCGGCGTCAAGACAGAAGACGTTAATTCACCTGTTCTTTGTGTTGTTGAGTCTCACGGCCGGCTGTAGCCGCAAGGACGTACAGGAGGTTGGCTTGTTGGGCGATGGACGTGAGGCGAGTTTTGGCTCTTTTTCGGAGAAATGAGAAGATCTGAAGAATTTTGAAATTAGAAGAAGTCTAAATGGGTTTGAGCAGGATTAGAGCTGTAATTTGGAGTTCTTTAAGAAATTTGAGCAGGTCTGGCTGGATATGAGCGGAGTTCTCACCGATTCCTGGTGTCTCCGAGAATTTTCAGCTATTCAAAGCTAGTCTGAGCAATTCTGAGCGATTTTGAGCGATTTCGAGCAAAATGTGATTTAATGAAGGCCAAAATAGCCGTCGCTAGCTTTACAAGTTCGCTCTACTGAACAATTTCTTTTTTTGGATAATTTTGAGGAGGAGCAGGCTAGTTAGAGATACAGTTCAGTAGAGCGAACTTTCAAACCTTAAAAAGCCGAAAAAGGCATTTTTTTTTGAAGTTTGGAAACGGTTCTTGAAAGTTTTTAAACTGTAACTTCCAGTTCAAGATTCAGAAGTTTGATTTTTTCATACACAACTTCGAAAAGAACCTACCGCATGGTAACAGACGGTCATAATACTGAACGGGATCAGAAATTGAATGACTAAAACGAAAATCGTGTAGGCTCGCTTGGAAAACGGCGACGGCCATTTTTCGGTGCAGAACCAGCCGCAGAGTCCTGAAATTGTCATATTTTGATACATTTTCTATCTGAATCTACCGTGTTTCGGCGAGTACTTCATCAGGTTCATGTGATAAACGTAAGGTAGAGTGACGACGATTGAAACGGCCCACATAATCATCGTGATTCGCATCGCGTTGACCTTTCGGAGGGGTCTTCCTTTAAAATAGGTCTTTGAACTTCAATCAGAATGGTTGAGAGAGTTAGAGTTTAGCGCTTCGAGATGCCACAGGACGCAGGTCGTTTTGGGTCGGGCGCGCTTTTTCAAACTCTTCAAAAATAAAAATAACTTTTCGAACTTTATCAGGTCGCAGAAAGAATGGCTGAGGGCGTCGCGGATCGCGATGCGATGCTTTGGAATGCTACAGTACGCAAGTCGTTTTGGGTCGGTTGCGTTCATTTGAAGATTTTAAAAATATAATAAGATCTTCAAATCTCAATCAGACTACAGAGAGAGAGAGAATACTGTATGCATCGTGGATCGAGATATGGTTAGAGATTGCTACTGTGCTTTGAGATGCAACAGCGCGCAAGTCGTTTTGGGTCGGGCGCGCTCTTTCAAATTCTTCAAAAATTCAAATTGATCCTTGAATTCCACTTGGCCCGCAGAGAGAATGGCTGTGAGCGTCGCGGATCGCGATGCTATGCTTTGAAATGCCACGGTGCGCAAGTCGTTTTGGGTCGGTTGCGTTTATTTGAAGATTTTAAAACATAGGTCTTTTAATTTCAATCAGATCGAATGGTTAAGAGGGTCGAGAATCATGATACGGTTAGAGCTTGCATTGAAATACCAAACTGCGCAAGTCGTATTCACAATGCGATGCTTTGAGATGCCTCAGCGCGCAAGTCGTTTTGGGTCGGGCGCGCCTTTTTCGAATTGACTCGTTGGCAAATCTCGTTGCGGTCATGACATGTGGGACTTGAATCGTCGATGGAAAAAAAATGCACTTCTTTAGATTATTCTAACTCGAGAGTGGGTTTAAAGCCGCTAGGTGCTCCTTGCGCCCGACCCTATCTGACCTGCGCACTTGACTATCTTCCAATCTAGAGATGAGAGCTTTTTAAGGCTCCCTGTTGCAAGGAGAATGCCTCTAAATTTAACAGCCTTAAAAATTTTGCGCCTGACCATATCTGACTTGCGCACTCATCTATCTTCTAATTCAGATATGAGAGATCATAAGGGCCTTCTGTTGGCCGCAAGGAGAATGACTCTACTTTAACGGCTCTAAAAAATTTTGCGCCAGACCATTCGTGACTTGCGCACTTCTCTAGACTCTAAAATAGATTCAAAAGCTCTTTAACGTCTTTTGTTGGTCGCAAGGAGGATAACTGTACATGCAAAAGCTGCCCGAATTTTTTTTACGCCCGACCATCCGTGACTAACGCGCTTCTTTATGCTCTAAGACAGATTCGAGGCCTGCGCCCGACCATCCGCTACTTGCGCACTTCTCTAGACTCTAAAATAGATTCAAGAGCTCTTTAACGTCTTTTGTTGGTCGCAAGGAGGATAACTGTACATGCAAAAGCTGCCGGGACTTTTTGCGCCCGACCCTCCGTGACTTACGCGCTTCTTCATACTTTAAGACAGATTCGAGGCCTGCACCCGACCTGCCGCTACTTGCGCGCTAGGCAATGGATGAGTTACTGTTGTGGTGTAGGAAAAACACTGTTTGAAGCAGTTATGAATCAACTATAAATAACTAAAACTGAATTTTTTCAAATTAAAGTTTCAGAATCTTCCACTCACCTGGAGCGATAACTAATCGGAAATACCGGTCCACGGCAATGGCACAAAGGGAGAAAGTCCCAATGAAGGTTCCTATCGCCTGAGTTCCGCCAACGACTCGGCAGAGCAACGAGCCGAAGAACCTGAAAATTTCAGGTACATCCAAGAATTTTCTGAAAAAAAAACCATTGCTTGGCGATGTGGGTAACTGGCGTTAGTGGTATTGATAGGCAGGCTAGGATGACCCCAGAAATGGCCAAATTTACGATGAAAATATTTTGGACCGTCTGGAGGCTCCGATGGCGGATCGTAGCGTAGATCACTCCTGAAAGATCAACGAAGATTGTTTTCCAAAAATTGAGCTTGGAGCTATTTTTAGACTTCTAATGCGCTCCATTGAGAAATTCAATCTGAAAATGCTATATTGAAGCGCGATTGAATTTTTTCTAGATTGAAAAAAATTTGGTTATATTTGCGGTTTTTTGAGAACCTTTTGCGCTCCACTGCGAAAGTTGAGAAAAAAAATCAGCAACGCATTTTTCATCAATTGTTTTTGCTCCAATAGTTAATTTGAGCCCAGAGAAGTAATCTGGAAGCTCCTATACCATAATGGCGCTTTTTTCAAATTAACTCGCGCTCCAATGATATTTTGAAAAATGAATGCCGTGGAGGCGGCTTTTTCGCAATTTTTATGCTCTACTGATAAATTTTAAGCGTGGGATCGGTCAAATTTGCGCACCAATAGTGAATTTGAACTCTGAGAAGTAATCTGGAAGTTCCTATACCATAATGGCGCTTTTTTCAAATTAAGTTGCGCTCCAATGATAATTTGGAAAATAAATGGCACGGAGGCGGTTTTTTCGCATTTTTTACGCTCTACTGATAAATTTAAAGCGTGGGCTTGGTCATCTTACGGTTAGGAAAAAAATCAGCAGGGCATTTTTCATTAATTATTTTTGCTCTGATAGTTAATTTGAGCCCTGAGAAGTAATCTGGGAGTTCCTATACCATAATGGCGATTTTTTCAAATCAACTTGCGCTCTAATGATAATTTGGCAAATGAATTCGCGGAGGCGGTTTTTTCGCAATTTTTACGCTCTACTGATAAATTTTAAGCGTGGGATTTGCCAACTTTTGTAATTAGGAAAAAAATCAGCAGGGCTTTTTTCGTTAATTATTTTTCCTCCGATAGTTAATTTGAGCCCTGAGAAGTAATCTGGGAGTTCCTATACCATAATGGCGATTTTTTCAAATCAACTTGCGCTCCAATGATAATTTGGAAAATGAATGGCGCGAAGGCGGTTTTTTCGCACTTTTTACGCTCTACTGATAAATTTCAAGCGTGGGCTTTATGAACTTCTCATTTTTAGTATCAACTCACCCATATTACCAGCGAAACTGATCAGGAAGACAAATGTGTAGAGTAAGGTGAAGAGGACGATTGTGATCGGGTGATTCGAGGGATCTGGATACTTGTCTGAATAGAATTCACACGGGATCTCCGTTGTCCTGTTTGATTCGCCCATCATTCTGAAAAATTGATTTTTTAAAATCATAAGTAGATTTGACAGAAGTCAATACGTATACGGTTATAGATAAAGCGAAAATCATAGAAAAAGTCGGAAAAAGTGAAAAAAAAAGGGTCCTGTTTTGGTGCCTTTTTGCACCGTTTTATCGGCTACTATGCACCATTTTTGCTGCCTTTCCCCTTTTTGAGCCTTTTAAATCCCAGAAAAAATGGGAGGCTCGAAAAAGGGACCCATTTTGCAACCTTTTTGCAACCTTTTTGCAGCCTTTCTGCGACCTTTTTGCCGCCTTTTTGCTGCCTTTTTGCTGCCTTTTTGCGGCTTTTTTTGAGCCTCTTTCTTTTAGTGGCTATTACCCATTATTCCGACTTTGCCCTAGATATGGCTATAACGAATTTCAAAAAGAGGTTTTTAAAAACTTTGGTGCTCAGGAAGACCAAAAAACCAACTTCCAGAACACAAAAGCACCGTATCTCAAAAAATCCTACAGTAACCTAATATGGTATAAACTGTAAAAGTTTCTAAAATTGGACTACCTATCGATTGATATACAACTTGCCTATAAAGAACTCATCAATTCTTAGATGCGCAGGTGGCCTACCGTAACCCGGCTACAGTAAGAGGGAATGGCTCGAAAAGTTGTGTCCGCATTGCTGATGCCACACTGGTTGGAATTTCATCAAAATCAAAAATATTGACCGCTGATTCTCAAAGTTACAGAGACAGCTTTCCATGTAAGGAAAGTTCGAATTTTATTTTTCAAAAATCTTTTTTTTGAAAGTTTTTGAAAATTGAGCAAAATGGCTGTTTTTCTGAGTATAAATCACCACATGGCTAGTGAAAATCTGTGTCAAATTTTGAAGCATTCGCATCATTTTTCGAGAATTCAGGCCCAAGGAACTGTTTTGAAGTACCGTCATGACCAGTAGTGTGTATAAATTTTCGGTGATTCCAAGAAAAATTCGGAAGAAAATTTTATTTTGAGATTTTTTATTTATTCTCAAGATCTTATAACACAATTCTAATTGTCTACGAAAATATTTTAACCTTGTAAAAAAAACTGATTTACTTCAAAAATATCAAATTCAAGTGAACGAAAGGCTAATTTCTTTCTTTCCGCAGTTAATTTTTCTCAAAGATCGCGTTCACTGAAAGGTGTCAACTTGAAAAAGTCCAATATATCGCTAAATGTCAAGAAGTTCTTCGGAACATACTAAAAAAAACGAGTTGGATCGATTTTTTTCGGGAGGTAAAAGTTCAGAATAATGAGGGGGTGCATGGGGGGTCAACAAAAATGAACTTTTTTTCTCAAAAATTATAAACAATCTCATGATTTTTTTCTGGATACTGGAGCTGTACAGAGAAAAAAATAAAGGGAAAAAAACGATCACCGGCTTTTTTTGAGGTTAAGATTCGCTCCATGGATAATTCTTCAAAAAATCAGGCTCCGACGGTCAGAAAGTTGAGAAATATCAATATACTGTTTCAAAAATGTGATAATAAAAGATAAATGTTGCAGAAATTTTTTAGCCGTTTTTATCATGAAAACGCGCTCCATTGCTAAAATTAGGTCTGAACTGCTAAATCTATAGAAAAACGCCGTTTTTTCTTAAATTTCGAGTTCGAAAAACTTTTTGATGGTGTGAGGCATCATAATAAGCTCTAAGAATAACCCTAGCAGTAGAAAAAATTCAAAATTCAAAAAAAAAATTTCTTGGGGAAGCTTTTTTGAAACTTAGGCCCTTAGGTCACTAGAAAAATGACGGTTTTTAAGAGGATCCCACGAAAAAAAGCAAATTTCTCTTTGTAAACCTCAAAATGACGTTTAGCAGCTATTGTTTTTTGGGACGACTACAGAGGAGGAAGGGGCGATGAATAATGGAAGACGAAAAAGATCAAATTACCCCTTGGAACCAATTTTTTGGCACTGGAGTACGTTGAAAAATTTAAAATGAAAGTTTTCAAGTGAAAAAAAAAACCGGAAGTTGAGTTTGAAGGTGCTCAGATTTCCATGAGGCGGTTTGTCGGATTTTTTTTGGAGCCAAATTAAAATTTTAAAAGAAATTATGGATTCTGGAAGTCTTGAGGCGTTTTTTGATATGTATTTGCGCTCCAATGATACATTTGAAATTAGGTGACCCTGAAGCTTTTTCGAACTCAATGGCGCTCTAATAATAATTTGAGAAAAATTAGGAAGTTTTTTTCAAAGCCTAAAGAGCTCTAGTAGTCATGAAGCGTTTTTTGAAATGCATTTGCGCTCCACTGATAAATTCAAAAATAAGAGACAGGGAAGCTGTTTCTCTAAATCAATGTCGCTCTAATAAGAATTTGATAACAATATGAAGATTTTCAAAGTCCAAAGTGCTCTAGAAGTCTTGAAACCTTTTTTAAAATGCATCTGCGCTCCAATGATAAATTTGAAAATAAGAGACAAGGAAGCTGTTTTTTGAGCTCAATGTCGCTCTAATGAGAATTTGAGAAACTTATGAAGATTTTCAAAGCCTAAAGTGCTCTAGTAGTCTTGAGGCGGTTTTTGAAATGCATTCGCGCTCCAATGATAAATTTGAAGATGAGTGACAAGGAAGCTGTTTTTTGAACGCAATGGCGCCCCAATGATAATTTGAGGAAATTATAAATATTTTCAGAGCCGAAAGGGCTCTAGAAGTATCGAGGCGGTTTCTGAGATCTATTTGCGCTCCAATGATAAATTTGAAAACTAATGAAATTGCGGCTATTTTTTGAACACAATGGCGCTCTTATGATAATTTGAGAACAATATAAAAGGTTCAGAAGTCAAATAACCGAATGAAAAAGTAAAAGCTTCAGAATCGTTGACTTTTGGAGAACGTCTGAATTTGACTTGACTCGGATAAGGGGCGGAGCCGGATGAGAGAGAATTTGTGGGAGTTTTACCGTAGTTTTCCCTTCTTTTGATCTGGATTTCAAAGATCAGAACTTTCAGCGGGGGCGGAGCTTACTCTATACACCGCTAGACTTTGAGATATCAGAGAATTGAAGAAATAGCATGGGGGAATGAGAGAGCAGAGACAAGTTAGATGGTTTTAAATCAGCGGCATATCGAGTAGGAAACAAAAATTTCAGATAATATTATTTTCGAGTGTTCATTTGCGCTCTATGGATAATTTTTGGATTTTTTTCAAAATTCTAACTGTCTGCGCTCTCTTTATCTCTCACAGATAAAATCGGAGGAAGAAATCGCATAGGAAATCGAGAGAGCAGAGACAAATCGAAAACTAAATAAAAGGATTTTTAAGAGTTCATTTGCGCTCTATGGATAATTTTTAGATTTTTTTCAAAATTCTAACTGTCTGCGCTCTCTTTATCTCTCACAGATAAAATCGGAGGAAGAAATCGCATGGGAATATGAGAGAGCTGAGACAGGCTAGTAGGATAAAAAAATAGTCAGAAATGGCCGGAAAAACTTACCCTCATAACGTTTGGAAATGAGAGAGAATAGAAATTTTGAAAAAAAAATGGCTAGGAAAAAATGGCCGCCAGCAACTGCGCTCCATTGATAACATTTAACATTTAACATTTAACATTTATTCAGTCCTCAGAGTAATCTTGTATCTGCTGAATCATGGAATATTCCATTGATAAACCAAACTTTATTTTATTTTTCGTGGGAATTTTCGCTTTTTTATTTTCAAGGAGGGAAAAATATTTCTAATGAAACTAGATACATTATGGTACAAAGTTTTGCAAACTTTTTTTCATAAGTTCATGAATTTTTCATCGACTTGAAATGTTATAACTTTCAAGTTTGACATGAGCATCCATCAAAGGACACGAAGCATTTATATTAGTAGCGATAAATATGGGAGCTGGACCAGGTCATCATAACTCAAACCAGACGAAGAAAAAAGCTTAAGCCATCTTGGGCAATTTGACCAGCGAAAACTTTTTTCCCCCGCGGAAACTATTATTTTTTGGGGTTGGGCGAAAACAAGGGTTCGGTGGGAAGCTCGGCTTTTTTGGGGTCTGAGTTGTGCTCCATGGATAAAATAGGATATTCATGAGAGGTTTTGTAATTTTTAGAATTGGAAAAAAACTTTGAAGGGTTTAAAAAAACCTTTTTTTAATTTTGGGACGCTTTTTGGCTTGTAAAGTCTTGTTCAATCTGGAAAAAAATCTAATTTTCAGATTTCCGATCAATTTGGAGTCAAAAAGAATGAAAAATTAAAAAAATAATGGAATTTTGAAAAAGAAGCGTTTTTTTCCGATGAAATCGCGCTCTATTGATAAAACTCCGAAATCCTGGAAATCCTCACTTTTTTTCAATGATTCTGCTGTAATTTTTTTGAAGTATTCAAAGAAAAAACGAGTAAAAAAAGATTTCAAGGCGATTTTTTTGACTTGAAAATGCGCGCCAATGAGAAAAATTTTTTTAAACAGCCTATTTTTTTCGTTGCTAGACGTTCTATGGAGAGTTCTTCGAAAATCCAGATCAGAAATCAAAAAAAAAGGCCGAAAAGGGCAGCATCTTCAAAGGACTGAGAAGCCTTTCTTTGACAAAAAAAAGAAGCGTTTTTTTCCGATGAAGTCGCGCTCTATTGATAAAATTCCGAAATATTGGAAATTCTCACTTTCTCCAACGATTCTGCTGTAATTTTTGAAGTATTCAATGGAAAAATAAGTAAAACGGTTTTAGGGCTTTTTTTGGACTTGAAAATGCGCCCCACTGACAAAATTTTCAAATTGTTCATTTTCGAAAATCCTGATCAGAAACTAAAAAAAAGGCCGAAATGTGCAGCAGAAGCTGAAATAACAGCATCTTCAAAGGATTGAGAAGCCCTTTTTTTGACAAAAAAAAAAAAGAAAAAGCGTTTTTTTTCTGATGAGATCGCGCTCTATTGATAAAATTCCAAAAACTTTCGAATTTTTCGAGAAATTCTAAAAAGATTCTTATGTACCTTTTTCTGATTATTTGATGATAAAACGAGTGAAAAAAGATTTAAGGGCGTTTTTGGACGTGAAAATGC